GAAAGTAAATTTAAAACATATATTTAGCGCGAATTATGTAATCAAGCCTACTACACACTGACAGATTATCTTGAAGATAAGAATGCTTGGCAGCATGTTGGTTCGGCTCCATTGGACAATACTCAAATGTAGTCAGTAGCTAAATTCCAATAGTAGGTATTTTAATACATAATTTAACACTTTAATTCTAATGTAGACAATCTAGTTTCCTTATGGCATCGAGCATTTCTTTATTGAAACAAAGAGTTTCCTTTTCTTGTATAGAAGCACTAATTCTATGGATTGTCAGTATGCATATGTGAGCACCATGTTGGACTTCAAGATTTTTATATTTTTTTTAATTTTAGTAAGTTATTAGTATAATTCGTCAAGCATGTCTTTGCATTGTTCTTACATATGCGTACAGTATTGAAATATGTATCAGAGACATTGTAGAACATACTTTTTTTAAAAAGAGTAACGAATGGAGTTTCTTGCTCGTTCTTCTCCATTCAAATCTACTTTTTGGAATGAGCACCTAGCTTCACCTAGTTTCACTGACGGACTGACTGGACGCAGGGCATTCTCCGACTGTGTGTTCCACCGTGTCCTAAGGGCGGTCCTCGCAGTGATGATGATTTCCTTCCGCCCCGTCAGACACAGGTACCTACCGAAGCTCCCATGTCCGGTGGTGAGGACCTGCGTCAGGCAGTTGGTGAGGACGCCGTGTCGTCTCTCAAGCCACTCCTCAAAGAGGGGACTTACCGCTGCGATGGCAGCGAGTCCAGAAACGGCTGGATAGAACTACATTTTAAAAGTTATAAAAGTTTGTTTAACTCCTTCATCTCTCTATAAAACTCTACAATTAAATTGTATGTCCTCTCTCCGTAGACATGCGTGGTTATAGCCGAAGGAGGTTGTACCCTCGGCTCTGGTTCCACCACAGGACCCGTCACTACACCGGACGGCTTCCAATCGACTACAACTATGCAGACGACCACGGACAGCAATGAAGTGACCGGCTCAACCACTGTAAATGGTGATGTGTCAACTCCAGATGGAGTCACCACTCCTGGTCCCTCCAGAGGATCATCTGATAGCACATCTGATGATAGTAATACAACACCAGCTTTGCCAACCACCACGGAAGCTGTAGACATAAATCCATGTCCCGCAGACGTCTATGGGAACGTTCCTAACCCAGAAAGCAGCAATTCATACTTCCTATGTGTGAACGGAGAAGCTATACCCTTCACTTGCGCTGATGGACTTGAATTTGATCCTATTGAACACGTAAGTGTTTAAAAATCTCATAATAAATGCGGTTATTTTTAAAACACTCAGTCCCAGTTCTCACTAAACAAATAAATGTAGTTGGAGATATGTTCAGTCCGCGTTGGTATGCATTAGAATAAATGTTTATCTATTTTTGCAGACATGCGAGGTCATAGCTGAAGGTGGAAGTACTCTAGGTTCAGCAACAACTCCTGAGGGACCATCAACAACTGAAAATATTGTCTCTAGCACAACTCTTGCTAACGTTGCGACAACTTCAACGCCAGGATTGGATGAAACAATTTGTGTACGAGTGTTTGGAACTATACCGCATCCAGAGCTGTGCAACTCATTCTACATTTGTGATGGTGACAAACCTATGCAGCTCTTCTGTGTCGATGGATACGAATATGATCATGGATCAAGGGTCAGTCAATAAATAATATCTTTGTAAAGTTGACTGAAATCAAAATATGACATTATTTTGATTCAGTAGACTTACCGTACCTTTCAAATAACGAACATGGTTTATTTATTACAGGGTTGTGTAGAGATCGCTGAAGGAGGCTGCACGTTCCAATCTGCAAGTACCCCAGAAGCTACTACGATCGCTGACCCGCCAATATGCGTAGAAGGCCAATATGGTAAAATACCCCACCCAGAACTGTGCAACTCGTTCTACTTGTGCACAGGAGGCCAGGCTATCCAGCTCTTCTGTAGCGAAGGTTTTGAGTTCGACCCTAATGTGAGAGTAAGTGTACTTCAAACTTAGATAGGATTGGTACTGCAGTCTGTAGCAAACATGATATTAATACAGAACAAATTTGCAGGAATGTGTGAGGACCGCTGAAGGAGGCTGCACGCTCGGATCTCAAACGACCCCAGCCGTAGATGACTTCCTTCCTGGTGATGTCGTTACAACGACTGAACGTGGAGTGACGTCTACATCGGAGCCTACGACTGCTCCTGCCGGCAGCACTAGCTCGGACGTAGGTGATGTACCAACTGAAGGATCAACAATTGATTACGCAACGACAACTTTGCCTACAACGTCGACGGCACTACCACGGAGGCTCCCATCTGTGCTCCAGGCATGTTTGGCAACGTACCTCACCCGGACAGATGCGACGCGTACTACTTGTGCGTCGGCGACAACGCTTTACCGTTTACTTGCGACGAGGGACTCGAAGTTGACCCTGAATCCAAGGTATTTGACAATATTCTTAAAGTACCCCTTTTGTCATAGATTTAATATTATGTCTGGTTTTACCCTTGATGCTCAGCTCTTGGGTTTTGAAATTGGATTTATAAGAAAAAGAAGAATAAGTATGTACATTCAAAAAGGGAAAGTGTGTCTATACGCTATCAAAAAAGCTTAATTCAATCATTTGTAGGCAATGATAAATTTTAATACTAATGAAAATGTGTTATTTTGGAATTGTTTCACGCGTCCCGCCTCCTCCTTAGCTAGCATTACTGCTTCGCAAAAGGAGGAGACGGCATCCCAGTCCCCCTCGCTCCGCATCATGGCCCGCACTAGGGCTGGACGCGGGAGGTCGCCGTCGCCGATCACGTCGCTGAGGGCACGGTGGTGCTCAGCCCATGCAGGGCATTCTCCGACTGTGTGTTCCACCGTGTCCTCAGGGCGGTCCTCGCAGTGATGACGATTTCCTCCCGCCCCCATCAGACACAGGTACCTCCCGAAGCTCCTGCGTCAGGCGGTAGGTGAGGACGCCGTATCGTCTCTCAAGCCATTCCTCAAAGAGGGTACTTACCGCTGCGATGGCAGAAAGTCAAAAAACGGCTGGATAGAACTTCCATTTAAAAGTTATAAAAGTTTGTTTAACTCCTTCATCTCTCTATATAACTCTACAATTAAATTGTATGTCCTCTCTCCGTAGACATGCGTGGTTATAGCCGAAGGAGGTTGTACCCTCGGCTCTGGTTCCACCACAGGACCCGTCACTACACCGGACGGCTTCCAATCGACTACAACTATGCAGACGACCACGGACAGCAATGAAGTGACCGGCTCAACCACTGTAAATGGTGATGTGTCAACTCCAGATGGAGTCACCACTCCTGGTCCCTCCAGAGGATCATCTGATAGCACATCTGATGATAGTAATACAACACCAGCTTTGCCAACCACCACGGAAGCTGTAGACATAAATCCATGTCCCGCAGACGTCTTTGGGAACGTTCCTAACCCAGAAAGCAGCAATTCATACTTCCTATGTGTGAACGGAGAAGCTATACCCTTCACTTGTGCTGATGGACTTGAATTTGATCCTATTGAACACGTAAGTGTTTAAAAATCTCATAATAAATGCGGTTATTTTTAAAACACTTAGTCCCAGTTCACACTAAACAAATAAATGTAGTTAGAGACTGTTGAATGAATTTGACCCTGAAACCAAGGTATTTGACAATATTCTTAAAGTACCCCTTTTGTCATAGATTTAATATTATGTCTGGTTTTACCCTTGATGCTCAGCTCTTGGGTTTTGAAATTGAATTTATCAAAAAAAGAAGAATAAGTAGGTATGTACATTCAAAAAGGGAAAGTGTGTCTATACGCTATTAAAAAGCTTAATTGAAATGAAACATTTCATCATTTGTAGGCAATGATAAATTTTAAAAATGATGAAAATGTGTCATTTTGGAATTGTTTATTTTTGAAATAACGAAAATAAATTCATATCTCTATAAATGTAACCTAGGTACTGAATCGATTGCGATGATATTTGTTCCGGTCGAACAGCCGTAGAATATAATATCTTGACAAAAACTAATTTAAAAACCCAATTTATTTAGAAGTCGCTATTTCACGCGGACGAAGTTGCGGGTAACAGCTAGTCCTTGATAAGTGTGATTGATGCTTGAAAGCGGCTGGAATTTTTTTTTAAGGGGGGAAAAATCATCGAGTCCCTGTTCCCGCCTGGGCGAGGCGGGAGTGTCAGACTCTTGCTGACTAATAACCACCCCGTTCCTACTCCTGTACTTCGAGCCGGAGCCCCGGTAACCCGTTAGGTTCTCCGCGACTCCGTATTAGCATCAGCTCTATTGGGCCCCATCCGTGGTGGTCTGATGGCTCTCTGAGGCGTGCGCGGAACGCGACGTGCCGTACGCTCGGGTCTGGTTATGGTCGGGATGCTCGCCGTCCGCAGGCCCGCGCTTACGGTGGCCGGAGATCGTCTCGCAATCCCCGACGACCGGAGTGTCCTTCGCGACGACTGGGTTGTGATGAGGCAGCTCTTCGCTGCCTTACGTGTCCCGTCTCCTCCTTAGATAGCATGACTGCTTCGGAAAAGTAGGAGACGGCATCCCAGTCCCCCTCGCTCCGCATCATGGCCCGCACTAGGGCCGGACGCGAGAGGTCGCCGTCGCTGATCACGTCCCTGGGGGCACGGCGGTGCTCAGCCCACGCAGGGCATTCTCCGACTGTGTGTTCCACCGTGTCCTCAGGGCGGTCCTCGCAGTGATGACACCCGGGCGTTTCCTCCCCATCAGACACAGGTACTTCCCGAAGCTCCTATGTCCGGTGAGGACCTGCGTCAGGCGGTAGGTGAGGACGCCGTAGCGTCTCTCAAGCCATTCCTCAAAGAGGGGACTTACCGCTGCGGTGGCAGCGAGTCCAAAAACGGTTGGATAGAACTTCATTTTAAAAGTTATAAAAGTTGGTTTAACTCCTTCGTCTCTCTATAAAACACTTTAATTAAATTGTATGTCCTCTCTCCGTAGACATGCGTGGTTATAGCCGAAGGAGGTTGCACCCTCTGCTCTGGTTCCACCACAGGACCCGTCACTACACCGGACGGCTTCCAATCGACTACAACTATGCAGACGACCACGGACAGCAATGAAGTGACCGGCTCAACCACTGTAAATGGTGATGTGTCAACTCCAGATGGAGTCACCACTCCTGGTCCCTCCAGAGGATCATCTGATAGCACATCTGATGATAGTAATACAACACCAGCTTTGCCAACCACCACGGAAGCGTTAGATATAAATCCATGTCCCGCAGACGTCTTTGGGAACGTTCCTAACCCAGAAAGCAGCAATTCATACTTCCTATGTGTGAACGGAGAAGCTATACCCTTCACTTGTGCTGATGGACTTGAATTTGATCCTATTGAACACGTAAGTGTTTAAAAATCTCATAATAAATGCGGTTATTTTTAAAACACTTAGTCCCAGTTCTCACTAAACAAATAAATGTAGTTGGAGATATGTTCAGTCCGCGTTGGTATGCATTAAAATAAATGTTTATCTATTTTTGCAGACATGCGAGGTCATAGCTGAAGGTGGAAGTACTCTAGGTTCAGCAACAACTCCTGAGGGACCATCAACAACTGAAAATATTGTCTCTAGCACAACTCTTGCTAACGTTGCGACAACTTCAACGCCAGGATTGGATGAAACAATTTGTGTACGAGTGTTTGGAACTATACCGCATCCAGAGCTGTGCAACTCATTCTACATTTGTGATGGTGACAAACCTATGCAGCTCTTCTGTGTCGATGGATACGAATATGATCATGGATCAAGGGTCAGTCAATAAATAATATCTTTGTAAAGTTGACTGAAATCAAAATATGACATTATTTTGATTCAGTAGACTTACCGTACCTTTCAAATAACGAACATGGTTTATTTATTACAGGGTTGTGTAGAGATCGCTGAAGGAGGCTGCACGTTCCAATCTGCAAGTACCCCAGAAGCTACTACGATCGCTGACCCGCCAATATGCGTAGAAGGCCAATATGGTAAAATACCCCACCCAGAACTGTGCAACTCGTTCTACTTGTGCACAGGAGGCCAGGCTATCCAGCTCTTCTGTAGCGAAGGTTTTGAGTTCGACCCTAATGTGAGAGTAAGTGTACTTCAAAATTAGATAGGATTGGTACTGCAGTCCGTAGCAAACATGATATTAATACAGAACAAATTTGCAGGAATGTGTCAGGATCGCTGAAGGAGGCTGCACGCTCGGATCTCAAACGACCCCAGCCGTAGATGTTACAACTACTCCAAGCTCTGAACTGCCTGACACAACCACAGAAAGAGATCCAGATGACTTCCTTCCTGGTGATGTCGTTACAACCACTGAACGTGGAGTGACGTCTACATCGGAGCCTACGACTGCTCCTGCCGGCAGCACTAGCTCGGACGTAGGTGATGTACCAACTGAAGGATCAACAATTGATTACGCAACGACAACTTTGCCTACAACGTACGGCACTACCACGGAGGCTCCCATCTGTGCTCCAGGCATGTTTGGCAACGTACCTCACCCGGACAGATGCGACGCGTACTACTTGTGCGTCGGCGACAACGCTTTACCGTTTACTTGCGACGAGGGACTCGAAGTTGACCCTGAATCCAAGGTATGTATTTGACAACATGTACCTCTTTTGTCATAGATTCGATATCATGACTGTTTTTATCTTTGAGTCTCAGCTCTTGAACTTGAATGTTTGAAGAATCTAATTCATGCCATCCTTGACTTTGGTTAGTGACTTATACCTAAGTATGTACTTCCAAAATGGACAACTGTGTATATCCTTTATCGAAAAGCTTAATTCAAATCAAACATTTCATCATTTGTAGGCAATGATAAATTTTAAAACGAATGAAAATGTATTCTTTTAGTTGTGCGTGCAAATCGCCGAAGGAGGATGTACCATGAGTAAAGCAACAACACCTGGAGGAGAAACTACTGCACAGGATGTAACAACTACTACCGCGCCTGAGACTAGTGAACGATATGTAACACAGGCTGGGCCTGAACTTGTTGTTATGACCACGGTAGCGGATGATACTACCACGGAGGCTCCGATCTGTACTCCAGGCATGTTTGGCAACCTACCTCACCCGGACAGATGCGACGCTTTCTACTTGTGTTCCGGTGGCAACGCTTTACTGTTTACTTGCAGGGATGGACTCGAATTTGATCGTGAAACCAGGGTATGTACATTAGTAAAGTAATGTTAAGGCTCTTAGGTAACGTCTTGGGTCACCGGTAACGGGTGTTGATAGAGGATTTGCCTCCAAATGTTCTATCGGCCGTCAAAGGTTTAATTCCTAAGTACCTCTAAACAGTGCAATGTAGTAGTGTTAAATAACTAATTTTACACACTAGAGACTGTTGTAGGTGAAAACATGGATGAATTTAATATTGAAGATATTAATAGCAACGCTTCTTTATTTACAGGTATGCGTGCCTATCGTTGAAGGAAGATGTACGCTTCCACAGCGCTCAGGTCAGAAAACAGAAGCGAAAGTTGAGTTGACTACAGAAGCGTGGAAAAACACCGTAAACTTCATGTGCCCTGACAACGAGGACCGCTTTTTGGCAGACCCTAACAACAGTGATAAGTTCTTCCGATGCGTTGAAGGATACGGCATACAGATGCATTGCCCTAGTGGACAGGAGTATGACGCTTCGGGAGAGGTTTGTGTAAAAATATTCTCTTGAAATTTTGGTAGGAAACGCTCGCGTTGTCCTACGATGTAAAGAAGAATAATGTAGTGGTGAATAAAGTAATAATAATTCTATTTTTATGAACTTCATATAACTATTAACTTAATACATATTTTGAAATTACCGAATGAATGTAGAAATGGACTAGAATAGTTGTAGTTCCGTGTTAAAACTTAATTATACGTTCTCCTGGCCATCTTTCAATTGTTACTTCGTTTTTGATTGAAACTGAGTACAATTTGTTATATTTATTTCTATACTTACTTATTGTTGAATGTATTTCATTACAGAAATGTGTCGCCATCGCCAAAGGAGGTTGCTCATACAACAAAAGGCAAGAAATTATATCATAATATGCTACAGAAAATCGTCTCACTCGATAACGACAAAACTGAACAAACATTAATCGCTCGACACTCTGGTAACTGAACAAAATGATTTTGTCACTATTTCATTTACTGAGTAATATTAAAATATATCAACAATTTACCTATTGAAATGAGTTTCAACTAATACAAAGTTCATTTATCAACTGGCACTAAAAGTACCGCTTGATAAAATGTATACAAAAATGATTAAAAATTAGTTATTGCTCAGTAAATGCGTTTGTATATACGTATTATTCACATATATTTATTTAAAATTCTCTACAAATTACATTTTTAAATACTACTTACAAAATAAAAAAAAATATTTAAAAATATAAAAAATAGGAGCCGACCAGTAGCGGGAGCATGGTCCAAGCTACCGGTGGTTAGGGCTCCAGAGACAGAAACCTCCTCACGATACGTGCTGTTTCTAGGAGAACTGCCTTCTGTATCAGGCCCTTGATCCATCCACCTAACGCCAGATTAACCCATTGGCCGACACGACTATCGGCACAATGATAGCCGAATCCACACTCCACATGTCGACAACCTCGTGAGCTAAGTCTAGATATTTTATTTGTTTAATCTTTCTCAGCTTTCACGAGGTTCTCGTCATGGGGAATGGTGACATCGATTATCATCGTACGGCGTACTTGTCGGTCTATCACGACTATGTCAGAATTATTGGCTACAATAGCCCTGTCAGTAATGATAGACCGCTCCCAGTACAATGTGATATGGTCATTTTCCAGAACTGGGTCGGGCACATACTTGTATAATAGTACGGTACCTCAGACTCAACAAGGCGATAGTGTAAAGCAAGTTGCTGATGAATAATCTTGACTACTTGATTATGCCTATGCAAATATTCACTGTTAGCCAAACGACCACGACCAGAAATAATATGTCTAATGGATTCACTAAGACTATGACACGCCCGACATATGTCTACCGTCCCATCCTTAATTGTATATTTCCGGTAGTTATTCGTAAGGATAACTTCGTCCATTATTGCACAGACAAATCCTTCAGTTTCTCCAAAGAGATTACTGAATCGTAGCCAGACCACACGGACGGACGCTAGAAAATCTACACTGGGTCCATGAAGGGCCCGAAAGAAGCGTCCGTAAACCTCCTTGCTATGCCATACCTCCTTGCGATCATTGACGCTCAGTACCACAGGTTTGCGCCAGTTATCTTTTGCCAAGGATTGTGGAGTGAATCCATTGTCCACCGCTGCTACTTCTCGATGCATACCCTGGGTTAGGAAAAGTATTATTATTTATTATTATTGTGATTATTTTATTATTAAAGTTTAACTCTGAAAGATGCGATAGAGTTGTAAATAAAAAGTTTCATGTTTTAAAATGTTTTTTTTTTATTCTGACTGCTGGAAATAATAATGGAAAGAATTTTGGTGGAAATAATAATGGTGTCTGTTACCTATATAATACTGTAATGTTACAAATATGACTTACTTCATCGGTATTGTTATAGTTAGAAATGCGTTATTAACTATTCTTACACGGTGCACGCTCTTTTCTTTACGGTTTGAAGTTTGTAACATAACATAACATCTCATTTTTTATCCCCGCGGGGTTAGACAGAGGTGCACATTACGGCACTTAATGCCACTGGACAATGAAACACTCGCTTTTCACTATTTATGTTATGAGTCCCATGTAATAGGGGGTGAGCCTATTACCATATACCGGGCACAATTTCAGGCTCCGTGTTACTACTGATATTTTTTTAAAAAACCCAGTAATACTTTGCCCGACTCGGGAATCAAACTCAAGACCCCTTGCAGACTCAGAGTCAGGGGCAGGCAGAGATGTCAGAGGAGTAGCTATCAAAATAGAAATGAAAATTTATTATCATCAGCCTGTTTTGGTCCACTGGTGGACCTCTGGACGTAGCTCTTTCCAGCTTTTGAGTCCAGACCCAAATTCTTACCTCATTTAGATGTCTCATGTAGTAGAAAACTCTAACTATACAAATTGCATTCTAAAGTTCACTTCACTTTAACTATTTATTTCATAACTAGCTTCTGCCCGCCACTTCGTACACGCAATCCCGTTTTCTCCCGTTCCCGTAGGATTTGCAGGATATTTTCTGTCGTAAGAACCTTCTGACAATAACAAACAACAAAAAAAAGGTCAGCCAAATCGGTCTAGCCGTTCTCAAGTTATGGCGTGACAACGGGAAACCGGTTTCATTTTTATTTAGATAGATGACCATGTAATTGTAATTACATCTGTTTTCTTCATTCAATAAGATATTATTTATTGTTTTAATGCTAATAGCATTGCAGATATGAATATTGAAAAAATACAGTCGAATTGAGAACCTCATCCTTTTTTTTGAAGTCGGTTGATTAAACGAAAACATACATTTTTTACGTCCAAACGCAACTCAAAAACAGTCCCTACAAATACGTTATAGAATAACAGAGACAGCATGATATTTGATATTAAGTACAACTTAAAATTCTTCTTGCCGACTATGACATTTTTATTTTATTTTTTTGTTATATTACTTTTATTAACTTAAGCTAACAATATTTCATACGCCTGTGAAGGCAGATTTTGGTGGTATTAACTTAATACTGTGATCATAATTATTTACCCAAAATGTAATGATTTTGATTTAATTTGAGCTTTGGAAATGATGTTGTATGTCAGACTGAGGGATGTTGTGCCATTCTTCTACTGCAGCAAAAGTCTCCAAAAGTCCCAAATCGTCGTTGGTCCGGGAACTCTTGCTCGAACCCTTCGTTAAAGGATGTCCTAGATATGCTCAATTAGATTGGAGTCAAAAATATAAAGATCGACAAGATCAGAACGTCGACACGAATTATGTCTGAGAGCCTCAAAAACAGCCCTTAAGCATAAAAGTATCCTTTGCATGGCACCCAAAATATATAATAAAATCCCAAATACTATCAAGAATCTGAATTTAACACAATTTAAACGGAAACTTAACAATTTTCTAATTGATAAATGCTATTATGCCATTGACGATTTCTTTCATGACAAAATGTAATAAACTGACAACTGTGTGTATAATTCTGTGCCTCCTGTGATAAGTGATATAACTCGAGTTATACCCTTTTTGTGATTTTCACATGAGCATTATCAAAAAAAAAATTACGTGTTTTTTGGTCTAACTCACGTTCTTCTATCTGCTATAGTTTCGGAGATAATTTTGTGCAAAGTGATACAACTATAGGGATTTTGGCAAAAAAATCGTGACAATCGATATTTGTTAAGTTGTAACTCCAAAACCAGTCACTTAACAAACTATTTTTCGTGTTTCGTGATTTAACTCGTCGAGTACCGGTTTTATAGACACAATTAAAGAACAATAGGTCGCGGTCACCGGTGACCGCTTGGTGTTTGACAGTTTAAATGCTATTGTATTTAACTTCACATTTTATTTTTCAGTACATTTATCGTGAATTTTGATGTAACTACAGTAATATCCCATTGGACTAATTCTTTCGATATGCCTCTAGGATACAAATCGACATGTACCTACAAATCTGAATGTAAGGTATGCCATTTTTTTGTGAAAAGTGATACAACTTGACTTGAATCATTCTACACAAATCTGTATTTATGTGTAAACAAATATAAATATAGTTGTATCTAAGTATCCAACCAATTGTAAAAATATACGATATAAAATATTAAATGTGCTAAGTGATACAAGTGTAGGTGGCAGGGGTTCGCGGGGGTAATCGGGGTAATTTTTTTCAGCTAAAATTCGATAAAATTATGAAATGGGCTACACTAAATCAGATATTGAAGAAAAAGATACCCAGGAAAATGGCCACGAATCAAGAGTGAAGCCAGAAACAAGCGAAACGGTTGATGGGTCATGGCGCCGGCGTCCAGTAGTTGCAGAAACGGTCACTGACTAAGAAAAATCTAATGATATCCAGGAAGAAGGTAACGAATCAATAGAGACGCAAGAAGGAAAAGAACTAGTTGAAGAATTGCGGAACCCTACAATTGTTGCGGAAACAGTTTTCAATAATAATAAGATGAACAAGACTCAAGAACATTCTTCAAAAAATCTACTCGATGATTTGAGAATTTCAGAATCATCTGGATGATGGTGATTTTGGTAGAGGGCCATTCGATCAATTTATAATCCTATTTATTTATGCTTTATTGTACACATTTAAGTAGCTTAAAAACAAACAATTCAAGAGCTAATCTTAGTCCGAGGTACTCTCTCATAGAACTATTTAAAGAAATTGATAATGAGTGTTGCCTCTCAATACATTTATAAAAATGTAGTACATGCGCATAAAAACAAAAGTTTATTTAAAAAACATAGTGAGATACATAATTTCAACACGAGAAATAAAGACAAATATGTTGTTCCCACTACTAGACTAAAGAAAATAAGTGGTTCGTTTAGATGTCAGAGTATACGCTTTTACAATAAAATTCCCAGCCATATCCAAAATTTGAGTCTAAATAAATTTAAAAATGTCATTAAAGATAATAAATAATTTTATAGTAAAGCATTTTATAAAATAAAAGACTACCTAGACGATAGTCGGGCTTGGGAATAAGGTGCTGTAACGTCCACACAGGTCATGTCGACATGTTTGTAACATATAGTTACATTTCTTTTTTATATGCAATTTGACATTATTGTTTTAATGTGACATTGTTTTTCATTTGAATTTTTCTTATATGTTGTTCTAACTTAACATTTATTTTTATTTTGCAATTGTTAGTGCTAGGACCGTGCGAGACTTTGCCTCGCCATTTCTTTTCTAATTACCCATATTCTGACAGTTTGAGTATTTGTGCGACCCACGCAAATGTTCTTTAGGTTGGTATTGGTCGTCGAATCAGTCAGCCTCACCTGTTAATTGAGCTGACTGTTAAGCGACACATGCGTACTGCCTTCAGAACGGGTCCGCTCAAACTTTTGTGGTTCTTTCCTCAAAAGGCCACTACAGAAAGAACTTACACGGTTCTCACACATAATCTGTTATACATATTGTCTGGACTTTAAAAAAGGCGGGCCTCTGAGTTTGTTTCGGCATTTCTTCTCAGAGTAGTCAGTTAGGAAATGTCGACCTCATCGTTTGTTTGATATAATTGACGTGTAAAAGTGCTGCCCTGTAGCCTATTTGCAGAAATAAATTCACTTGTTTCACTTGTTTCCTTGGATCTTTTAGAAGTGATGAATATATTTGCAATACTGATGAATTGTGTTCATCCACTGATGATGAAAGAGTACCGGCTAAAAAAAAAGAACTGCTACGTCGTCATTGATGAGACACACCTCCAATATTACGATTCCAAAAACACCACCGTCACCCATGAACACATCAGAGAATTCCGTTCCTGGTTGCTCTTTCTGGGATCACAAAGGATTTAGAGTGCCGGAAAAAAAACACAACAAAAAGTGACAAAGAGAGAAGACAGAATAGAGAAAAGAGAAAACTATTTCGTAATACTGGCTTAGAATATACAACTTCATCAGGGAAAACAAAGGAACATCGGCAACTTCGTGAACTACAAAACTATTTTTATTATTAATCAATTAACCCACAGTTTAATTAATTATTTTTATTACTTCGTATAACACTGAGTAGGTAAATTGGTTACTGTGATAGCTTATCAATACTGATTTGTCCCATTACTTAGTTTTACTTGGTTTTAAACTTTTGTCTTTATGATAATTACTTATGTTCCTTTTAACAATAGTTACATTCGTATAGTCATATTGTGATGTACCTCTATAGATCTTCATTTAGTTTTATAAGAATTTTGATAAAAATGTGCATAACGACTGTATTTTTAGGTTAATAAACGTTGATTATTTATTTTTCTAAAACTTGTATTCATTTACACGTATCACTGTATTTTTTTTTTGAGGGGTACATCTTGACTTGCATCATTTAGCATATCTTCTGAAAGACAAGGATTTTAGTAAATTGATATAGTTCAGCTACATTATGTAAATAGGTGACTGATAAATAAAAAAAATGAATCTTAGGGGTTATATTTTCAACTTTTGTTTTAGCACACTTCGCTAGAATCATTATTTTAATGTGTTATTATACATTTTAACTTCATGTATATCAGTTTACACTAAGACAATTTTTTGGTGCAAGCTTGGTGTAACGTAATTTAACTGTACAAGTATCATTAATAACTTAATTTTAGCACATAAAAAACTAAGTAAAAGTTACAAGTCGCAGGTTTTTCATGAATAACTTCCAAAATTAAACATGTATCAAAAAATCAAAATTATATAAAGAAAGAAAATGTTTAGATCTATAAATGAGTGCACTAATATTTAACCTAGGCCACTTAATTAACGAACTAGATTTTTTTAAATCTTATTTTTGCTGTCCTGTAAAATGACGTTTTTTGACTTGTATCACTTATCACAGGAGGCACAGAATTAATTATGAAAACTTGGGTAACTTATTGTTTATTTAATGCTTGTATTAATTTATTTTGTTGCAAAATTTTTGACATTTTTGCTATAGATTGTTTATTTAATGCCTAATTGCCTGTTATAATTTATATTGTGACTAATTTTTGACATTTTATTAATTATTTATGTTAAAATTTTGAATGTGATGATTATTTTTATACTTATTAAATAGTGTATGCCTAATGGGCAGCTTTTTGCGCTACTATAATAATAATTTTAAGACCTTTTGTATTACCAAAAAGCACACAAATAAATACTTTGACTTTGACTTTGAAATAAAGTACAAATTCAGTTTGACTAGATTTTTGCAAATGGATCAGCTGATGGTAAGCAATCGGCGCCGCTCATACACCCGGAATAAAAGACAAACAAGTGCGTTACCGACCTTTTGGATCTTTAGGGATTTGAGGATTGTTGGGAATTCGGGGATTGGAGGGTAATTGCGACGACGGTAACCTCAGTTACACGACAAAACACAACGCAAAAAAATGAATATCGTAAAGATTTTATTTAACAGAGAAGTTGCACATTCGAGCTACTCCGTGGTAGTAAAACATTGTCCAGGTAGCTAGTAATGGCCTTTCTTACGTATAAACATATTATGAGCAATTTTGCGGTGCTGGAGTTGTCGCGCCTCACATCACATCTTGCCAGGTTGCACAAGTCTGCAAAAATAGTTCATATTAGTTTCATACGAATTAAGTCTGGGAGAGCCTTGCTTCGGCGCAGCTCGACCGGAGCGATAGGAACCACGGCCGAACAAAAAACCGATGTGAAACTACCAAAGCGTTGCCCCCAAATCCCCAATCCTCAAACTAACTCCCAAAAGACCAACAACGCACTTGTAACTACACTGCACTAGTATTTCAGATGTTCATTGTTGATTTATTTTATCTACTGTTTTAGGGACTTTTCGTTTAGGCACATGCCCTTTGAGTGAGTAAATTCATCCATTGACTTCTCCAGCCCTGAGTGAAGCGAGCACGAGTCTAGTTCTGGTCGTGCCATAAGCTACCCTTCCTCGCTGTTCGCAGACCCGCACTTACGGCGGCCGGAGATCGTGATAATATTGTCGTAGCTTATATCGTGATAATATAGTCATTGGATGATTTTCCCCCCTTAAAAAAAGCCTAGGTCAGAACAAATACCCACTGCTGTAGTCATCGTTGTAGTGTTGGCCATAAAACTCTGATAGTTTAGCGCTTAGCGTTCTTCTGAACAGTCGTCGTCATAATAGGATGCTGATATTGGTCTCTTAGTTGTTGCTCCAGGATAACACGTGGCCCGTTGCGCTTTTACACATTTCTGGGAAATTTGATTTAGTTAGTTTTGTCATTAATCTTTGGCATATTTTACAGCAATATTATAATGAGGTACGAAAATTAAAAATCTATTTAGATAATGAAAAAGTATTAGACACAATTACAATAACCTTTTTTTTATTAATTTTTGATTATATTAATATTAATCTAACAAAGTGCCCTTCCTCTCTCCTACCAATTTTAAATGTTGCTGTGCCCGACAGGGTCCATAATTGTTACTTTTTTACATAACCACGTTTATATGTACCACCACGACACGACCCGGAGGTCGTGTCGTGGTGGCCCGGAGTATGACATAAAATGAGCATGACATAAAATGAGTATGACATAAAATGAGTTAAATTTTTACTTACCCGAAGGTTGTGATCGAACAATTTGTCAACACTACAAGGCATATCTAGTGTCTCTCCATTGTGACATTTGTAATACAATAAAATGAGCATGACATAAAATGAGTATGACATAAAATGAGTTAAATTTTTACTTACCCGAAGGTTGTGATCGAACAATTTGTCAACACTACAAGGCATATCTAGTGTCTCTCCATTGTGACATTTGTAATACAGTCCACAGAATGTTTTATGAGGCAACAGGATTTGATTGCCTTTAGAGTTCTCAGGACAACCATTGGGACGCAGCTTTCCTGTTGGTGGCGGAGCTGTCCGAGCTGTTGTTGATCGCGAAGTAGGTTTAGGTGTTTTTGTTGTTGATGGTGTTTTTGTTGTTGATGGTGTTTTTGTTGATGGTGTTTTTGTTGTTGTTGTTGTTTTTGTTGTTGTTGTTGGTGTTGTTGTTGCTTTTGTTTGTCTTGATGGTGATATTGTTGTTGGTTTTGGTGTTGTTGTTGATGTTTTTGTTTGTCTTGATGGTGATGTTGGTGTTGTTGTTGGGGTTGGTGTTGGTGTTGATGGTGTTGGTGTTGGTTTTAGTGTTGTTGTTGATGTTGGTGTTGATGTTTTTGGTGTTGGTTTTGGTGTTGACGCTGGTGTTGACGTTGATGATGGTGTTGTTGTTGATGTTGGTGTTGTTGATGTTGGTGTTGATGTTTTTGGTGTTGGTATTGGTGTTGACGCTGGTGTTGACGTTGATGATGGTGTTGTTGTTAGTGTTGATGTTGGTGTTGGTGTTGGTGTGGATGTTGTTGATGTTGGGGTTGATATTGTTGTTGGTGTTGATGTAGAATTTGATTTACAATCAACTTCAGACATAAAGTTGCAAACCTGTGATAATGTAAAATTATTCCCATTATGTTTTTGGCCAATAGCAGCGCGACAGTCGCTTCGTTGTGTGTCGTGGTTCATAGTTATGAGCAGCAGCTCATAACTATGAGCCGCTAGAATAACTTGAAAAAAAAACTATTCAAGTTCCTCGTCAAACAGTTACGTGAGTAAGCCGAAAACATAACATAACATCATGCCGTGTCTGTGTGGGAGAGCCATGCCTCGGCACGAATGGGCCGGGTCGACCGGAGTGATATTACGGCCGAGCAGAAAACCGACGTGAAGCAACGCTTGTGTTGTGTTTCGTTGTGTGAGTGACGTTACTGGAGGCCCAATTACCCTTCCCATCCCCAATTTCCCCAACGGTCCTCAAACTCCTAATCCACAAAAGGCCGGTAACGCACTTGTAACGCCTCTGGTGTTCTAGGTGTCCATGGGCGACGCCGATTGCTTACCATCAGGTGATCCGTCTGCTCGTTTTCCGGCTTATCCCATAAAAAAATGCCGTTTTACCCCCGAAGGGGTAGGCAGAGGTACACATTAGCTACGGCGCTTAATGCCACTGTACAATGTAACAACACCCACTTTTCACTATTTATGTTATTTATGAGTTCCATGTAATTGGGGGGAAAACATTGCCATATACCGGGCACAATTCCAGAATCCACGCTACTACTGAGATTTTTTAAAACCCATTAATTCTTTGATCCGGGAATCGAACCCCAGACCCCTTGCCTAGCAGTCGCACATGTGACCACTCGACCAACGAGGCAGTCGAAAACATAAACAGAAAACATAATGAATAAATTAATTTATACTTAATTAAATAAAATCGCGGGTTACTCACGTGAATATACTAAGAAAAGCTCTACTAGTTTCGAACCACAGAGGAGCATTCCTCATGAGCAGCATGCGCGATGTCGCCGCGACCGCGCACGCTAGTAGAGCTTTTCTCAGTATATTCACGTGAAAAACCCGCGATTTTACTTAATTTAGTATGTCTCACGATAGTTACTATAATTTATACTTACTCGTAAATTAACGTCGAATAATGTTCCGGACGTACATGTCATTTCAATCTTATTGCCATTGTTACAAATGTAGAATTTCGAGCAGTCTGACTCGTGCGGCCGGAGTACACTTGTGTATGAGTTTGCTGGACAGCCATTGGGCAGATCCTGATCTGGTGTCCCAATTATCACCGATAGAAATGTGAGAGCTGTGTACATATCGGCTGAAAAACAAAATATAGTTCATAATTTTAGGATTTTTTTTTAAGGGGGGAAAATCATCGAATGACTGCCCCCGCCTGGGTGAGGCGGAAGGGAGTGTCAGACTCTTACTGACTAAAAACCACCCCGTTCCTTCTCCTGCACGTCGAGCCGGAGCCCCGGTTACCCGTTAGGTTCTCCGCGACATAATTTTAGGATAGGACCACTTGTAGTTCAGCACGCTAAGGCTGCTAATTACTTAACCGGACAAACCCTGCGGTAGCCACCAACAAGAAGTTAAGACCCCCAGCCAGGGCAACTAAAATGTATTTTTTTTTATTTGATAGGATCATAGGTCGTAAGTGCGACTGCCGGACAAGGGGTCTCGGGTTCGATTCCCGGGTCGGGCAAAATATTACTGGGTTTTTTAAATATTCTCAGTAGTATCACGGAGTCTGGAATTGTGCCCGGTATATGGCAATAGGCTCACCCCCTATTACATGGGACTCATAACATAAATAGTGAAAAGTGGGTGTTACATTGTACAGTGGTATAATGTGCACCTCTGCCTACCCCTTCGGGGATAAAAAGGCGTGATGTTATGTATGTTATGATAGGATCACTCGTAGTTCAGCACTATTACAATTCTTCTTTTTTTAGGTTAGGACCATTCGTAGTTCAGCACGCTAAGGCTGTTGACTACGTAACCGGACTAAATAATTCTTGCGGAAGCTCAGAACCTATAGTTTCGCCGATAACGAAACCATAGCGCCATCTAACTCGATCCTAACGCCATCTATCGAGCGTTGAAACAACAGCCTACAATTTCGTGTACCTGTAACAACCTAAAATCTGTAAAATACACAATTTAATGTACAATGGTAAGAACCGAAATTTAAAAGCGAAAAATACTTAAAAAACAACGTTACCACGTTTTTAAAAACACTCAGCGTCATCTATCGCTAAGTAGCGTAACTACTACATAGATAAATAATGACAGACAGCATATAAATGAGTCGAAAAGTGCACCGAATAAGTAAATTAAAGTGTGAGATTTCCAATTAGTAGGTAATTCGTTGACTTGTTTTTAATGACATACAGCGCCATCTATACCAATACACACAGCGCCATCTATACCAATACACACAGCGCCATCTATACCAATACACACAGCGCCATCTATACCAATACACACAGCGCATCTATACCAATATTTTTGTTATCCCTCGGTAGTATATTTTTTCCGGGATAAAAAGTACCCTATTATATAATCCGAACTTCTAACTTTACGTCTGCAAAATTTCAAAGCAATCGGCTTAGTAGTTACGGCGTGAAAGCGGAACAAACAAACAAACATACTCACTTTCCGATTCATAATATTAATAGGGATTAGTAGATTGATTATATATCTAATGTAATCATTAGATATATAATCAATAATACATAGTGACTTTCTATATTTAAATATTTTTTAAACGTTTTTCTTCGATATTATTTACATTCATTAATACAGCTAATTAATGTATATTTGCACACATTATACGCCGTGAAATCTATTTCGTTTTCGTCCCGCGGCAAAATAACTTGCCAGAAGGAAGGAGTACTTTCGATTTTTTATTTTTTATGGCATAAGCCGGTAAACGAGCAGACGGATCACCTGATGGTAAGCAATCGGCGTCGCGCGGTTACCGGTGCGTTACCGGTCTTTTGGGGATTAGGAGTTTGAGGATCGTTGGGGATTCAGGGATTGGGGAGATTGAAGAAGGGGAGGGTAATTGGGCCTCCGGTAACCTCACTCACACGACGAAACACAACGCAAGCGTTGCTTCACGTCGGTTTTCTGTGAGGCCGTGGTATCACTCTGGTCGAGCCAGCCCATTCGTGCCGAAGCATGGCTCTCCCACACTTGAATGTATAAAGTAAAAACAAAAAAATAGATATAGGTAATTTATTTTAAGTTTAAAAAAATCATGGACATGCTCACATGAAGCACTAGACGTGAATTTGTATGTAGGCACTATTCGCATCGCCTGTGCCACCCGACGGGAAACACCTCTTCGAGAATTACATGGCGTGATGTTTTAATAATACTATGAGTTCGTATGCGCTTTCGAAGGTTGCTTTTTGCAATGTTTCACCAGTTATTGTTTGTTTTAAACATTCTATTTGTTTGTAAAAATATTGTATTACCGAGACAGAACCATTTTACTTCGGAACGAAAACGAAATACATTGCACGGTGTATATTAACAATTATAATTAAAATACTGTCTTAGCAAATGATACAAACTTACCGTTAATGGTTCAAATACCAATTTTCACACACTTCATTAAGTAGGTGTTAAATTAAACAATTAATTTATAATTAAAACATCGCAGATAATAAATCGAAACAAGATTTATAGTCATGCTAATCAATAAATTTATTTCTCAATTTCTTTTCTTTGTCTTAACGCATATTAAAATGGTGTTAATTATGATTATTACGTTGACTAGCTGTGCCCGTGACTTCGTTCAATTAGAAAAGTGTCTTTGGATTGTTCTTTACAGCTTGTTCACACATGAACATGCCATGTCAGCGAGATAATCCTACGTGATAAAGTACTGAAAAAAAAAATTAATTCCGGAGTATACAACTAAGGAAAACATCACATAGGTTATTATAAGGCCTAGATTAGCTAGGATAGAGTAGGATGATGTGAGCTTGTAGTCATTAGGATTAGGTAGTCCTGTACAGTAGGATTGTAGCGTGAGGCAATAGCCTTACGCTACAATCTCGCTGTACACAGTTCATCCCCCGTAGGTGATAGCATGATTATATGGAGCATACATATTAACAGAGTCTTTTAGTATTCATGCAAGTTTTGAAGTAAAAGTATGTTGTACTTTTTGAATTTAGCCCGGACATACATACAGACAAACAGACAAAAATTAAAAAATACTAGATTTTCGATATCGATTCAATAACACGTAACTAAAATACTAAAATATTAAAACATAAATTGGCCCTTAATTCAGATCCAAGTTAAAACTGTTATATAATTTAAAATTGTTAACTTTATTTAGGTCTAGTATCTATTACCTAGTACTGATTTTCTGGAGATCTGTCCCGATCGGCTACTCTGTGCCATGTAACTCCTGCCACTTGCCTGACATCACGTCATAAGTACTGTTTAAAAAAATATTCAATATACAGTTTTGACTTTTTTATATGTAGAGATTAATAAGTATGTTACATTCGTTTGATAATATTGCAAGATGAAGTTTTGAGGAGAGACGTGTAACTGTGGGTTGTACGTACGTATATATAATTTTAAAATATTTAATTTACTACCTACATAGTGTAGAACAAAGTCGCTGTAGTTTAAAAATCCAAGCGGACAGATGGCTCTGTCCCTAATTACGCTCGGATTTTTCCTTCGCGCCGGATCATAATGAATGACAAAGTTTGCGGTGTCGTAATGCCCCTTTCAGACGCTCCACGCGCTGCCGTGATTTGCCGCGACGTTGCTCTCTCTGCCCAAACACTACTCTACTCGCGCAATTAATCGCGACGCTCCTATTGCCGGTCCTCGTTGCCTCCTCGTATTGCCGGTCCTTTGACTTGCGCGCAAAAACGACAGTATACGGAGCAGTGGGCAGGACGAGGAGCATGACGTGTGGCATGACGAGTACTGTTGCCACACTATGTATCTGCCTCCTTTCCTCGTTACTTCCCATACCACTCGTAGAGTGTGTGGCAGGCGCATAACCCGAAGCAAAGCTCATGCTGAAGTTGAGCGTCTCGGTACGGAAATTTACGTGTGTACCTACGGCGTCGCGTAGTGAAGTTGTTGTGCCCTGTTGACCGGGTCGCGATCGAGCCGCCTCAGCCGCGAAGCACTTCGTCTCCACGCCGTGTAAAAATAAAGAAGAACTAGTCGGAATACGGGAACAACTCACCAAGAAAAGACTGGCCTTAAGAACGCCGAGATTGAGGACTCAGAGGATCGCGCGATGAGTCGTGCATCTCGGCATCTCCGTTAGGAATTGTTAGTGCACGCGGTATTGTTATGTATGAAAATAATTCACGTAGGGTGACTGCGTTAATTATTATTTAAAACCCCAAACTGTCTGCTAGAGTTTTAAATAATAACAAACATTTGCGTCATTAGATTTGTGTGAGACATAGTGCGCAAAACCTGATTCTAATCGGTCAAGACAACTGTACATTTTGTGAGTTTGTGAGGATATATGTGAGTGTGTGTGTGTGTGTGGATGTGTTTGTTACCGATTCACGTAAAAAGTACTGATCGGATTTAGATGAAATGTCACAGTAATGTAGGTCATATATTCTGATAATAACAAATGGGCTACAATTTTTAATGACTTTGTGTTATTTTGGCGTAATATAACACAAAATGTTAGCCAAATCGGGCCTTTGAGACCTATCTGGATATTTAACATTTTCGATTTCCGTTTCTGTCTATCCTTAACAGAGAACCAAATAATTGAAGCGCCTAAAGACATAAGACAGCAGACATGTTTTGGCGACGGTGACTGAAAGAATACGCCCCACTCTTCAAAAGCGTCCGAAGTGGCGACATGACAGCCCATAAAAGTGGGTGATATCATGCTGATTTTCGAAGAGAACCAGCCTCGTAATGCTTGTCCTAAAGGTGTGATTAGCGCAGTTCATCCAGGTCGTGACGGTCATGTCAGGGAAGTTACAGTTAAGACCAATAAGGATTCTATGAAACGACCAGCTGTAAAAGTCATTGTGTTGCCTACTGACGCGACTCCGCGCTCGTGGCTAGCGCTAGCAGTCGCCGCCGAAACGAGTGAGCGTGTTTTAAAACGCTCCGCGTTCCCGCCAGTTTTCTCAGTTTTTGAATTCGTTGTGGAAACATTCAGCTCTAATCACATGGAGACTCGCAACACCAGAGGCGTTGTATTCTATATTCCGTGGTTACAAATGTGTTGCCGGCTTTGGGGCTTAGGAATTTTTAAGATTGGTGAGTTTGGGGACGGGAGAAAACTCAAAAACGCAGAGATTTTTAAAATTATATTTATTTTTCAGCAGACATGTACAAAATTATTTCATTTTTGACGTCGATAGCTGCGTCGTCAGCCCAGTACCTGCCCAATGGCTGTCCGTCAGACTTCCAATTACACCTGCTCCTACCACACGACTCAGACTGTTCCAAATACTACAGTTGTAGTAATGGCAAAAAAAATGAAATGAGCTGTGAACCCGGCACACTGTTTGACGATAATATGCAAGTTAGTAAGCAGTATATATTTTATAACCTCCCGTGAGATAAGACATAGCCTGTTATTCCAGACTATAATTTATCCCTGTTCTTGTACGTACAAGTACGTACGTCTACGTACGTACATAACATCACGTCTTTTATTCCCGAAGGGTAGGCAAAATTGCACATTACGGCACTTAATGCTACTGTACAATGTAACACCCATTTTTCACTATTTATGTTATGAGTCCCATGTAATATCGGACACATTTCCAGACTCCATGCAACTACGAAGAATTTCATAAAAAACACAGCAATACTTTCCCCGACCCGGGATTCAAAGTTGAAACCCCTTGCTCGGTTGTCGCTAGCGACCACACGGCCAGTGAGGCAGTCAAGTCAGCCGGTTCTTGTATAAACAATAAAACTGCAACTTCATCTTACAGCTCTGCAACTGGGCGTATGAAATCGATTGTCCTCATTCACCATTAAGTTCATCGTCAACAGCAGCACAGAAGCTCCCACACTTCTTGCCCAATGGATGTCCTTCAGACTTCACCATACATTACTTGCTCCCCCACGAGACGGACTGTGACAAGTTCTACAGTTGCAGCAGGGGACGGAAAATTTTGATGCCTTGCCCCTCTGGAATGTGTTTCGATTACACTATTCAGGTAAAAACGATATTTATTTTTATCGCAATGAGAAATACAAAAATTGTGTCCCAAAGAAAAAAACAAGAAACTGGATGAACAATCATGTCAACACGACTTTAGTTTTCGATAAACGAATCCCCTAAAAATTATAAAAGTTTTTAAAGAAATCAAGACCAAATCAACGGAGGATCTTTGGGGATTGTCGGTAAAAGTTCGCAAGTCATTGTTTCAAACTGTAGCGCCATATCTGGCTGTGATTTTCAATAAATGTATAGATGACGGTGTTTACCCTGACCTAATGAAATATAGTAAAGTTATCCCACTATTTAAAAGTAGTGACACTAAAGAACCTAACAACTATAGGCCAGTATCTGTTTTACCGGTTCTCAGCAAAATCTTTCAAAAAGTTGATGCTGTCTCGGATGCTTCATCATTTTAATAAACATTCTATCTTTCACCAACAACAATACGGTTTCACTAAAGGTCGTTGCACAACTGACGCCGGTGTCACTTTGATTTAGGACATATTTGGTGCTTGGGAGGAAGCACAGGATGCTATTGGTGTCTTTTGTGACTTCTCAAAAGCATTTGATTGCGTTGACCACGAGACACTTTTGCTGAAATTAGATCACTACGGGATAAGAAACTCTGCGGTCCGTCTTATGAAATCTTATTTAGAAGAAAGACAGTTAACAGTTAATGTTAACGGTATTAACTCGCAGGGCTCTGGGATGAATATGGGCGTTCCTCAAGGTTCAATATTGGGTCCCTTTCTCTTTTTAGTCTATATAAATGATTTGCCATTTATATTTAAAAATGAACTAAGAATAGTGCTTGTTGCAGATGATACATCATTAATTTTTAAAATAAATCGTCTTACAAATAATCTTGACGACGTAAACAGCTCCATTCTTCGAGTGCATAATTGGTTCACCATTAACAATCTAGCACTTAATGAGAAAAAAACCAAATGTATTAAATTCAGTTTACCAAACGTGCGCAGTAACGATTGTGATATTGTTTTGAACGGTCAAAAGTTAGAATTTGTCGACGAGACGGTATTTTTAGGCATTACGTTAGACAGTAGGCTACAATGGGGTCCGCATATAAAGGCGCTCTCGGGGAGATTGAGCTCAGTCGCTTTTGCAGTTAGACAGATTAGACAGCTCACGGTAGATAAGCAAATTATTTGTTATGTACTAGCTTTTACTCGCGGCTTCGCTCGCGTCACAAAGGGTGAAAAGTAGCCTATGTGACATATACCAATACACACAGCGCCATCTATACCAATAATTTAGTTTTCCCCCGAGAATATCAAATTTTTCCGGGATAAAAAGTACCCTATTATTTAATCAAGACTTCTAACTTCACGTCTGCAAAAATCAAAGCAATCGATTTGGTAGTTACGGAGTGAAAGTGGAACAAACAAACAAACAAACTCACTTTCCGATTTATAATATTATTAGTATGTATATATTGACGTTTCAAAAGTACTAAAATATGGTTTAATTGAAAAAATGCTTTGACTTTGCGCCATAATTTAGCGCCAGATCAGAGTAGGAGCAAGTATAGTTAGAATCTTCAGTTATTTTAGTAATAATAAATGATCGTGCATAACTTACATCATCTAGGGAAAGATGTGAAGAATTATTTAAAGTTAAGTGTAACTTTGCATCGAAAATATTCTTAAAAAAAAACGTTACTTCCAGCGATGCGGCAACCCGCTCTTGGTCAATTGTACTTCGGGGTCCAGTACATCGGATTTAGCCCCAATAACACCAGCAGATGATCCAACACGACCAAAATATCCAACGCTAGTATCTGAAGAATTGTTGCCCAATGGTTGTCCTGTAAACTTCTTCTACAATTATCGAATTCCCCATGAAACAGACTGTGCATTACATTACCACTGCCAGTTTGGAGAGAAAATTAAAATGCAATGTGCAGATGGCCTGTTGTATCATTATAAACATATGGTAAAAACATTACATTATTTGGTTTTATTTCAGCCATGATCGCTCCACTGCAAGATGGAGTCCTTCCACTCCTTAGTTTATGAGATAAGCCAGTTAACGAGTAGACAGATCACCTGATGGTAAGCAATCGGCGCCGCCCATGCTCACCTGAAACACCACAGGCGTTACAAGTGCGTAACCGGTCTTTTGTGGATTAGGAATTTTAAGATTGTTGGGTATTTGAGGTTTGGGGATACACTCATACGACGTAAACCGAACGCAAGTGTTATTTTACGTCGGTTTTCTATGAGGCCGTGGTATCACTCCGGTCGAGCCGGCCCATTCATACCGAAGCATGGTTCCCCCAAAATTGTGCAGTCAATTCTTGTTAAATGCAAGTTTTGTTTATTTTATTTTAATGGGATTGGGGACAAATTGACCATACGGTACAACACGTGGTGGTATATAATTGATGCCATTCATGAACACTAATACATTAATTGTAGTTGTTTTTGTCCGTGCGTCACTGCAAGGGTGCCAACTGAAAACCAGTGTTGAGTACTTACTGTGCCCAGCTCATACTGAGTTGGCGAGCCCTTTTGTCGTTGGCATGTTACCACCTTATTGTTCTTTTTATTATTTTCTATATTGTTTTTTTTTTGTTGTTTTTATTGTTATTTTATGTTAGCCTGCTTCGTTGGCCGAGTGGTCGCAATTGCGACTACCGGGTAAGGGGTCTCGGGTTCGATTCCCGGGTCGGGCAAAGCATTACTGCGTTTTTAAAAAAAATTCAGTAGAAGCACGGAGTCTGGAACTGTGCCCGGTATATGGCAATAGGCTCACTCCCTATTACATGGGACTGATAACATAAATACTGAAAAGTGGGTGTTACATTGTACAGTGGTATAATGTGCACCTCCGCCTACCCCTTCGAGGATAAAAGGCGTGGTGTTATATTATGTTATGTTTATGTTAGCGTATTTGGTGCATCAAAATAAATTCATTAAAATTCCTTCTGTCAAATAGGGTTTAATTTAAAGTGGGTGGTACAATGTATGTATAAATATGTAATACTAATTTCAGGCATGTGTGTATCCAGAATTCGCAAAATGTTATCCAGGAGAAGAAACAACTTCATCTAATTTAGCACCAGCAGGGGAGCCCACAAAAACAACAATTACTACACCTGCAGGTGGCTGTCCAGCAGACTTAGCGGCCGATCTCTTATTGCCACATGAGTCGGATTGTTCCAAGTTCTATACTTGTATCCACGGAAACAAAATTGAAATGGATTGCCCGAACGGCTTGTGGTTCGACTTTGTATTGCAGGTAAGCGAATTTTATTTTTTACTAGCTTTTACCCGCGGCTTCGCTCGCGTCACAAAAGGATGAAAGTAGCCTATACCAATACACACAGCGCCATCTATACCAATTCTTTTCTTTTCCCTCGGGAATACCAAATTCCGGGATAAAAAGTAGGTACCCTATTATTTAATCCGGACTTCAAATTTCACGTCTGCAAAATTCAAAGCTTTAGAAGTTACGGCGTGAAAGCGGAACAAACAAACCCACTTTCCCATTTATAATAGTAAGGATACCAAATATTTCACATTACACACGCAAGTTCAACTGCGGGGCTAGGGGTCTCGGGTTCGAGTCCCGGGTCGGGCAAAGTAATACTGGGTTTTTTATAAATCCTCAGTAGTAGCACGGGGTCTTGAATTGTGCCCGGTATAATTATGGCTCTATGGGTATAGGCTCACTGCTCACTGGGTGTTGTTTTATTGTATTGTTGTATTTTATGGTGTGTTTAATGAAAATTGCTATATGTTTATTGTTGTCTAATTGGTGACTTGTTCGTCTGCGAGTCACTTAAGGGGCCAGTAGAATACCAGCGCGAGGCCCTGTCTTGCACATGCTGAACTGGTCCCATTTCACCGCAGACTTGGGTCATTAGTAGATATATATAAACTTGTGTGTAAAATCTGTATGTGTCACCTGTATTAGCGTGTGAAATAAAGTTTTTCTTTCATTCTTTCTTTGAATATACTGAGAAAAGCTCTACTAGTTTCGAACCACAGTGGGGTTCTTGCTCATGAGCAGGAAATTAGAAGAGATTTTGTCGGTATATTCACGTGAGTAACCCGCGATTTTTAGTTAATTTAGTATGTCTCACGATATATTATTAATTATAATTATAATTATAATAGAAGTCCGCTTTAAATAATAGGGTACTTTTTAACCCGGAAAATATTGATATTTCCGAGGAAAAACAAAAGTATTGGTATAGATGGCGCTGTATGTATTGGTATATGTTACATAGCTACTTTTTATCCTTTTGTGACGCGAGCGAAGCCGTGGGTAAAAGCTAGTTTATTATACAAACAATCGATATTTGTATTTCTACGTCAAAAAGGATGCAATCTTATTTATTTACACGCTGTTATTTAGTTTAACCTGATTCTACCCAAGTACGTTGAAAAAACCTTTTCCTGTCTTGTTCTATAAACATGAATCTTTCATTTCTAGTACTGCAGTTGGCCGTTCATGGTGAACTGTAATGCAACCCGCACAACGACAACAACAACTACAACGACAACTACAACGACAACGACAACTCCAGCACCAATAACGGTTACCAACAGGCCATCAACCTCTAAGGGAACGACTAAAACCACCCAGGTATTTGACTCTATCGTAATACAACAGGCATAATTGACACAGTGGTATCTTTTAACTAAACATCGCGGTTAAATCACGTGAATATATTGAGAAAAGCTCTACTAATTTCGAGTTACAAATTGGCTCTATTTCATGAGTAGCGTGCACGGTCGCGGCGATGTCACGCAGCTTACTTTTCCCAGTACACGTGAGTGAGTAACCCGCGATTTTTAGGTAATTTACTAAGGCGGTCTGGTAAGTCAGTGACTTTTCGAATTTCCCGCACAGTTATTCCAAATGCGACAGTGCAGCCGTCAACTGTAATCTATAAGTGGGCAACTGTCAAATTTTGAGTAAGCTACGTCATGCAGTTGGTGTTTGAGAAAACCTATTATTAGGAGGTACTAAAAAATTTGAAAAACGCTGAACTAAATGTATCGAGCTAAAAGGTGATTATGTAGAAAAATATAATGCTTATTTGCCGCAAAAATATGTTTTATTCCAAAAGTCACGAACTTATCAAACCGCCCTCGTAGTTCACGATAGTTATTATAAAAATCATAATATATTCTGTTTTTTCCAGAACTATGACGACCTTGCACAATGTGATTGTACTTCCGGTCCTGCCATCGATACTCCCAAGACACCCATAGACTCTTTAGCTACCACCAAACCACCTGATAGTTGTCCCACAGGTGTGTGGACCAATATCCGTCATCCAACTTTGTGCAACTCATTCTACTATTGTAACGGAAACAAATCTGTGCAGTTCTTCTGTGTTGATGGGTACGAATTCGATCTGGCAAGGGTGAGTGAGTAAATGAGCTAGTAAAATTATATTTCTTATCTCCGTTTTTTTTTTATTTTTTGACGTGACAACGTCTTATAAATTGGTTTGCCGGATGACACTTCAAGAAACTGCGTTACGCTCCGCTCATGTTATGCGCTCACAATGAGAGCGAGTGAGAGGCACGCGTCCCTTCCACTCAGGCATGGTTAGCCCGCCTAAGAGCGAGAGAGACAGACATAAAAAGTGGAAGGCACGCGTCCCTTCCCATTATTTCATCCTTCTTCCTACTATAAGTACTATACGAATGAATATTCACGTTAAAATTATTTTACCACTCAAAGTCGTTGTCACGTAAAACTTTCGCTCGTATACCGACTTTACAGGCAACCAATTTTTTTTTTTAAATAAACGTTGCCCCACATTAGGATTATCTCCTGTGTCGTGTGTCCGTTTACAAACATACAAGTTCACATACACATGACGCCCAGACCCGAAACAACAATTTGTGGATCACACTAAGTGTTGTTCCGTGCGGGAATTGAACCCGCGACACGTTGCACGGCAGCCGATTGCCCAGCCACCGCACCAACCGTGCAGTATCCTTCACTATTTTCAATACAAAATTTGAATTGATGTACAAATCAGAATGTTACGGTGTCAGAACAGATTTGTCAGACATTATTTTGATTGCATCGTTCCGCTTTTTATTGCATGGTTGGCGCTGTGGCGGGGTAGCTGGCTGGTGTGCACTTGTCGAAATACTCGACTACTTTCAAGCTACATAGGAGCTTATAATTATTAGCAGCATGCGCGGTGGACAACGTCGCAGAATCACATGGCACAATTTTTGTAATGAAGTGGTCGAATTAATGGCTTTGTTGTTCTTTAACAATAAACTATTAGAATTGACTGCACGGTTGGTACGATGGCTGGGCAACCGGCTGCCGTGCAACGTGTAGCGGGTTCGATTCCTGCACGAAGCAACTCTTCGTGTGATCCACAAATTATCGGGTATAGGTGTCCTGTGCATGTAAACTTGCATGTTTGTAAACGCATCCACGACACAGGAGAATATTCTAGTTCTAAATAAAACAAACTTTAGGTTATTTTTGGTTAACGAAATGAAACGGTCAACACGTCATGTTGTTTACAGTTAATTTACTAATTCTTTACACTTGACTTACCATTCCACTAACAAACAAGGTTTATTTATTACAGGGCTGTGTAGAGATCGCTGAAGGAGGCTGCACGTTCCAATTTACTACTACCACAGAAGCTACTACGGTAAAGCCATACCTGTCAACATGTGCAGCAGACCCAAATGGTAACATACCCCACCCAGAACTGTGCAACTCATTCTACTTGTGCACAGGAGGCCAGGCTATCCAGCTCTTCTGTAGAGACGGTTATGAGTTCGACCCTAATGTGAGAGTAAGTACATACTAAACTATAAAAGTAGTACTGTACATCACACCAACAGCCTATAACACGACAGAGCACAGCCTCTTCTTGTACGGAGAAGGTTTGAGTATTAATCACAACCCTTGCTCAATGCGGGTTGGCGATTTCAAACTTATAATTAGAAACTATATCTCCTTCACCGTTTGTCAGTGGTGTCTAAATTTTAGAAAGCAGTGCAGTTACCAGTATTGTAGTCAGAAGCAAATATGCGGCGCTTTCTACTTGTGCTCCACCGGAAAAGCACCATTTATGTGTAGCAAGGAGCTCGAATTAGACCATAAAGTTTAACCATCAGACCACCACAGATGGGGCCCAATAGGGCTGATGTCGATACGGAGCCGCGGAGAACTTAACGGATTACCGGGGCTCCGGCTCGACGTGCAGGAGAAGGAACGGGGTGGTTTTTAGTCAGTAAGAGTCTGAAACTCCCTCCCGATCCCGAGAGCAGTCAATCGATAATTTTTAGCCTTAAAAAAATAAAGACCATAAAGTTTTAATTTTTTTTGTTATAGATTCTATATCAGACATAATTGAGGTTTTCCCTTGAAACCTGATTTTGAGTTCCAAACTTGAAGTTAGGATTTAGAAAACGGACAATAATAAGTACCTAATATTCAAAATGGGCAACTGTGTCTATTAATTATTATGTTTTTCGGCTTACTCACGCAAACTGTGTCTATTCCTTACCAATAAACTTAATTGTAATGATATCATCAGTTTCACGTTATTATAAAATTTGAAACGAATGATAATGTATTATTTTAGTCGTGCGTGCCAATCGTCGAAGGAGGATGTACCATGAGTAAAGCAACAAAACCTGGAGGAGAAACTACTGCACAGGATGTAACAACTACTGCTGCACCTAAGACTACTACACAGGATGTAACAACTACTGCTGCACCTAAAACTACTGCACAGCATGTAACAACTACTGCTGCACCTAAGACTACTGCACAGGATGTAACAACTACTGCTGCACCTAAAACTACGGCACAGTATGTAACAACTACTACCGCGCCTACGACGACGACTTTAGCTCCTACAACATCGTCACATGACATTCCCAATGAAGGCAGTAAGACCGAAGCCCTCGATGATACGACCACGGTAGCGGTTGACACTACCAACGAGGCTCCCATCTGTGCTCCAGGCGTATGTGGAGTCGTACCTCACCCGGACAGATGTGACACTTTCTACTTGTGCTCCGCTGGCAAAGCTTTGCCGTTTACTTGCAGCAAGGAGCTAGAATTTGACCCTGAGACCAAGGTATGTATTTGACAGTATTCTTAATGTTTTTTTTTTTTAACTTTGTCCCACACTAGGATTTTCTCCTGTGTCGTGGGTGCGTTTACAAACATACACGTTCACATACACATGACACCCAGACCCGAAACAACAATTTGTGGATCACACAAAGTGTTGTTCCGTGCGGGAATCGAACCCGCGATACGTTGCACGGCAGCCGGTTGCCACCGCATCAACCGTGCAGTCGAGTTTATATAACAACTTTCGTGAGACATATTCAATTGTCATGTTTTCGGCTTACTGACGAAACTGTTTGACGAAGAACTCGAATTCGACATACTCAGCCGGCGCGAACGAGTCTAACGTGCCAACAGTGTGCGCCGCCCTACATAGAGGTGCGTGTGCGTGAGTCCCGACAGAGGGCGACACTCGAGCAGCCAGGGGCAACTAGACAGTCGCTGCGTCGCGGGTTGCGGAATGTAGCTCATGAATCTGAGCCTCTATAGTATAGCTTGAAACTAGTCGAGGATATAATAAATAGGATATGACGACATAATAAATATTTTTAATTGACACATTTTGTCCTAAATGCGACATCGTATGAGGCTCGGCTCTTGAGTTTCAGACTTGGAATTTCTTTTGTAAAATACTCTTCTTATATTACAATATGCACCTTTGTGTATCTGTTATTGAGAAATTTTCTTTGACATAATATCACGCCTTTTATCTCCGAAGGGGTAGGCAGAGGTGCACATTATGCCACTGTACAACGTAACACCCACTTTTCACTATTTATGTTATGAGTCCCTTGTAATAGGGGGTTAGCCTAAACCCATAGAACCATATACCGGGCACAATTTCAGACTCCGTGCTACTACTGAGAATTTTTTAAAACCCAGTAATACTTTGTCCGACCCGGGAATCGAACCCGAGACCCCTTGCCCGGCAGTCGCACTGACGACCACTCGGCCAACGAGGCAGAAATTTTTTTTAAATGTAAAATTTCATCAACATTTGTACGTTGTTTAAAATTTTGAAACTAAAGAAAATGTGTTGTTTTAGTCGTGCGTACCAATCGCCGAAGGAGGATGTACACTGAGTAAAGCGAGAACGCCTGCAGGCGAATATACGGTACAAGAAGTAACAACTACTACCGCGCCTACGACGACGACTTTATCTCCTACAACAACGTCACATGACATTCCCGATGACGGCACTACGACCGGAGCCCTCAATGATACGACCACGGTAGCGGTTGACACTACCAACGATGCTTCCATCTGTGCTCCAGGCGAGTTTGGCAACGTACCTCACCCAGACAGATGCGACGCGTACTACCTGTGCTTCGCCGGCAACGCCTATCTGTTTACTTGCACCGAGGAGCTCGAATTTGACCCTGAAACCAAGGTATGTGCTCGACAATATTCTTAATGTACCAATATTCTAAATGTATGTGTTGTTTTGTCATAGATACGATATCATGTTTGGCTTTCCCCTTGATACTCAGCTGTAGAGTTACAAACTTAAATTTCTTTTGCAAAAGATTCTTTGTATAATATTTCAAACAAATTAATTCATGCCATCTTTGATATTGGTTATTGACTTAAAAAAAATACAAAATGGGCGACTTTGGCTATCCCTAATGAAAAAGATTAATTTGAATAAGAATTTCAAATATATTTTTAAGTTGTAAAACTAAAGAAAATGTGTTGTTTTAGTCGTGCATGCCAATCGCCGAAGGAGGATGTACATGTACACAGAGTAAACCTGAATGCGCGGTAAAGGATAAAACAACCACTGTCGCGCCTAAAACTACTGAACAAGAAGTAATAACTACTACCGCGGCTCCGACGACGACTTTAGCTCCTACAACAGCGTCAGATGACTTTCCCGATGACGGCACTACGACCGAAGCCTTCGATGATACGACCACAGTAGCGGTTGACACTACCAACGATGCTTCCATCTGTACTCCAGGCGAGTTTGGCAACGTACCTCACCCAGACAGATGCGAGGCTTACTACTTGTGCTTCGCCGGCAACGCCTTTCTGTTTACTTGCACCGAGGACCTCGAATTTGATCCTGAAACCAAGGTATGTGTTTGACAATATTCTTCCTTCCTAGTCGTCTTCTTCATTACTGAAGGTCGTGTCTAGTCTGGTGCACGCGTCACTTGATGCACAACCCTCCTCCAAACGCCCCTGTCCTCTGCGGTCTTTATGGCTTGTGGAATTATCAGGCCGGTTAGGTTTTTTACAGCATCCAACCATGGGGTAGGTGAGCGACCGCGAGGTCTTTTCCCGTTAACCCGACCAACAACCACAAGCTTCTCCAGATTGTTGGGGTCTCTACGCGCAATGTGACCAAAATAAGTTAATATTCGCTGCAGGCATACAGTGGACAGCCTCGTAGTAATTCCGATCTCCTTGAGAATGGAGACGTTGGTGCGACGAGCGGTCCAGGGAATACGGAGCATACGTCTCCAGCACCACATTTCGAAGGCGTCAATTTTTGCTCTCTCAGTTTTCCTTAGGGTCCAGGATTCGGCGCCATACAAGAAAATGGAGAAAACCAACGCACGCATCAGCCTCACTTTGGTCTTGCGACATATATTTCGGTCCTTCCATATCTTGGTGAGTTTCGTCATTGCTGATTTGGATATCTGGATTCTCCCTCTGATCTCTCCGTCGCTGCCACCCCCACCATCGATAAGAGAGCCCAGATAAATAAACCGATCCACAAACTCCAAGTCTCTGAGTTCATGTGAGCGAGTGCATGTCCCCATTCTGTCCACGACGAGCACCTTGGTCTTGTTTTTATTTATGGTGAGACCAACCAGTTCGCTCTCCTTCTGTACTCTTGCAATCAACTCAGCCATCTCGCTCTCGGACGATGCAAACAAGGTAGTATCGTCCGCATACCTTAGATTGCTGATTCTCCTGCCACCAACAGACAGCCCACGTTCCCACCCCTCCAGAGCTCGTCTCATTATGTATTCCCCATATATATTAAAGAGAATGGGAGACAGGATACAGCCCTGCCGGACTCCCCTCCGAGGCCTAAATGGATGCGACAGGACGCTGTTTACTTTCACCACGGTGCTTCCATCCCTGTAAAGATTAGCAATGAGAGCCACAAGGTGTTTCGGTACTCCCATTTCCCCCAGGATTTTCCACAGGCATTCCCATCTTACACAGTCAAAGGCTTTTGAGTAATCGACGAAGCACATGAACATTGGGATGTTGAATTCGCGACATTTTTCTATGATTTGCCTGATGTTTGCGATCTGTTCTCTAGTGCCTCGTCCCTTTACGAATCCTGCCTGCTCCACTGGAATCTGCCACTGCAGAAATGCCTTAAGACGCTCATTAACTACGTACAGAAGAACCTTACTAACATGAGAAATGAGCGCCACGGTTCTGTAGTTTCCGCAGGACTTCGTAGATCCCTTCTTATGTAGTGGAATCAGTACGGATTCCGTCCACTCTTCAGGCCAGCAACCAGTCCTCCATATCTGATTGCATAGATTTTGCAGAAAATTGACTCCAGAATCACCTATTTGCTTCAGGTCTTCAGCAAATATGGCATCAATGCCGGGTGATTTGTTTGCTTTCAATTTCTTTATAGCAAATTCGATTTCAGACTTCAGAATCTCTGGTTCCAGAGGTATGCTGTTGAAGTTGTCCTGGGGGTCCTCTGACGCTGCCGGATCCGCATATAAGGTTTCACAATATTCTCTCCATCTGTTGACCACCCCATCTATGTCAGTTATTAATCGACCATTTGTGTCCTCTACAGCCCAGGTCCTTGGTTTGAACTCACGCGTTATTGATTTTATTTTCATGAACAACTCCCTGGACTGCATATTCTGTGCATGATCTTCAATTTCCGTACAAATGTTGTTATAGTACTTGTTTTTATCTTGCCGACAGCGACGTTGAACTTCCCGCGATAGACTTTTGTATCGTTCTCGGTCATCATCCTTTGAGAGGTGTTTAAGTAGTTCTTTCTTTTCTTTGATAATGTCCCAAGTCTCATCCGATAACCAAGAATAGCGTGGGGCGCCAGATGTTCCAGTTTGACTCTCCCTGTGCGCTACCTGTAATAGTTCCTTGAACCTGTCCCAGCCGTTATTCACGCTCAAACCTCCATCTATCGGTGCTGCTGTTATTTCCTGCTGAAATCTTGCTTTGAACTTTATTTGTTCACCGGGTGTAAGCTTACGTTTTTTCTTGTCAGTGACACGAGGGCATTTTTTCAGCTTGATCGACATTCTGCTTACTAAAAGCGAGTGGTCACTGCTGCAGTCCGCACCCGGATATGTCTTGGTGTTCATAATGCACGACTTCCACCTCTGAGGCACGGCGATATAGTCGATTTGGTTTCTCGTTCTATCTCCAGGTGAAGTCCACGTGTATAGACGTCGGGGGTGGTGTTGAAACCAGGTGTGCATTATAGTGAGGGAATTAGCGGCACAAAATTGTAACCATCTGTCTCCTCTTTCGTTCCTCTCACCCAATCCAAAGCGTCCAACCACCTCTCTCAGATGATCGTCCCCCACAGTAGAGCCTACTTTCGCGTTCATATCTCCCATCACGATATTAATTTCTCTGCGAGGTAAAGAATTGTACGTGTCCTCCAGCTTATTGTAGAATGGTTCAATAGTCTCCTCATCGGCAGCGCTGGTAGGGGCGTACACCTGTATGATGTTCATACGGCATGGTTGCGTGTTCAGCTTGATTGTGATTATACGGTCACTCACAGGATTGTATTCAAGCACACATTTATCCATTTCAGCCGTAACAGATATCGCCACTCCATTCTTGCTTTCACTTTCAGGTCCCGAGAAGTAGACAGTATGCCCTCTGTTCGTTTTGTAGAACCCTGTACCTCTCATATGGGTTTCGCTGAGGCCTAATAAGTCTAGCTTGTACGCTGACTGCTCCTCATCAATCATTTCCCTCTTCACTTCTCGGATCATACCACGAACATTCCATGTCGCAAGCGCTGCCACCCTTCTCAGCGACCGCTGGTTCCTAGATGTTCTGCCACCTTCACCAGTAGCATTTACTCCACACTGCGCCCGATGAGTCGCTCCAGTGTGGCCAGTAGCACATTTCACATCATGCGACCTGGGATCGTCATGGCGCCGGGCGGCGGCCGGGTCGCATGCCAAAGCATCTCTAATCGCATTTATGTCCATACTAGATTTCTTGGGATGTTAGTGCAGTGGTTTCCCGTTGGCTTCTGCACCAGTTCTTTCGAGGAGTATTTTCTCCTTAGGCCTCTGTAGCCTCATCCAGATAGTTTCCTTCCTGGGTTTAGGTTATACCGCCTATGCTCGGTCGCCATTGCCTCGTCTGTTGTCTAGCAGGGAGCACCGCGACAATGTTAAATCGCCGCCGTCAGCTATTCTATAAAGAACCACTTACGCGTGCAGGTGAGGTTGACAATTGGGCCGAAGTAGATCTAATTCCAGCCCCTTACTCCCCGACAATATTCTTAATGTACCAATATTCTAAATGTATGTGTTGTTTTGTCATAGATGCGATATCATGTTTGGTTTTCCCTTTGATACTCAGCTGTAGAGTTTCAAAATTGAATTTCTTTTGCAAAAGATTCTTTGTATAATATTTCAAACAAATTAATTCATGCCATCTTCGATATTGGTTATTGACTTAAAAAAAATACAAAATGAGCGACTTTGGCTATCCCTAATGAAAAAGATTAATTCAAATAAGAATTTCAAAAACATTTTTAAGTTTTGAAACTAAAGAAAATGTGTGGTTTTAGTCGTGCGTGCCAATCGCCGAAGGAGGATGTACATGTACACTGAGTAAACCTGAATGCGCGGTAAAAGATAAAACAACCACGGTCGCGACTAAAACTACTGAACAAGAAGTAAGAACTACTCCCGCGCCTATGACGACGACTTTATCTCCTACAACAGCGTCAGATGACTTTCCCGATGACGGCACTACGACCGAAGCCTTCGATGATACGACCACAGTAGCGGTTGACACTACCAACGAGGGTCCCTTCTGTGCTGCAGACAAGTTTGGCTACATACCTCATCCAGATAAATGCGACGTGTACTACCTGTGCTCCGCCGGCAAAGCCATTCTGTTCACTTGTAGTAAAGAGCTCGAATTTGACCCTGAAACCGAGGTATGTACATCTACATCAACACTTTTTTTTAAGGGCGGAAAATCATCGAATGACTGCTCCCGCCTGGGTGAGGCGGAAGGGAGTGTCAGACTCTTACTGACTAAAAACCACCCCGTTCCTTCTCCTGCCCGTCGAGCCGGAGCCCCGGTTACCCGTTAGGTTCTAACAGTATAAAGAGGAAAGAATTAAATTTTTGTTTGGTTGTTTGAATGGAATCTCCTCCGAAACTACCTGGCCGATTTCAAAAATTATTTTACAGTTAGAATGCTACATTGTCGATGATGATCATAGGCTATATTTAATAAGAGAGAAAAAATAGAACCGTGTGAAAATTTTGATAATGTAACCCGATGTGTGAAATACTACCAAAAAACCTCTTTATATTGCTTAAGGCTTTTAATGCCAATAGAAAACTGTTTTCAAGGACTAATAATACTATTTAGCTGCATCAAAATAAGAGATTTTAAAGAAGAAATATGAATTCAATTAACTGAATACATTTTATTCATGGACTAGCTTCTGTCCATGGTTTCGCTCATGCTTTTTTAAAGTGGCAGCCCTACTCGTAGGTCTGCATTAAGTCAAAGAAATAGCTGTGTGGACTTGACCTTCTCCTCGCCTGCTATGACTGGCGTGCTTAGAGTTGTTTAAATTTGACCTATGGTAGTGATCACTATCCCATCATAATTAAAGACCCATCAAAATCCATTCAGGATAAATTAAAATATCGTTTGAATTCAGCGGACTGGTATCTTTATTCAAATTATTAGACCATCGTATTTCTTTCCTTCCACCGGTTAATTCCGAAAATGTTAGAGTGTTTCTCAAAATTCTCCGATCCGATCGATGATAACCTCCACAGCTGAAGATTGCTTTCCGGTGTAAGAGGCACCGAAAGCCAAAATCCCTTCTCCACCATGGTGGGATATTGAATGCACTGCCATGATAAGAGCTAGGAATGAGGCTGAAAAGATTTATAACCAAGATATGAATGAACCTGGAAAACCTCATAAATTTCAAGCGAATTTTGGCTAGGTCAAAAAAAGATTGTCTCTTCTTTTGCAAAGGGGCTTTTGGGTGGCAAAGATTTTGTTGTTCCCTGAGTCCACACCAATATCTTCAGTTTGGCAGAGAGTGAAAAATTTCAGGAACTCCACTAGACCTCCCACTATCTCGACCTTACCCGAATCTCTGAGTAACAGATTTTTAAACAGTATTGTTCCAGTGTATGTGCCCAGTGCAGATGAATGCTGCCAGAGATCCTATGAGGAATCACATGATCCACTTGATTTGGGGTTCTCATTTGAAGAACTCCAAACAGTACTTAACCATGTGAAGGACTCTCCTTCTTATCTAAGGCAGGAACTAAAACGAAACAATACTACCTTGACTTGGTCAATTTTTGCTTTACTTCATGCTATATTCCTCCTACTTGGAAGGTTCAGGTTATTATGCCGCTGTTAAAAGCTGGCAAGGATCCTGGTGATCATTCCTCCTACAGACCTATTGCCCTATCGTCCGTACTAATTAAAACTTTTGAACACCTCATAAAAAACTTTGAATGGTTGGTTTAAAGCTGGAGGCTGCTTCCGGGACTCAGTTCAGCTTCAGAAAGGTCTGGGTACGGCTGACAGTGTAGGTACCCTCACGTCAGCCGACCTATTGGTCTTTAGCAGGCAGGAGTCGTTGGTCGCTGTCTTCCTGAACATCACGGCGGCCTATGATTCTGTCCTCTTACCCCTTCTCAGGCAGAAACTGCAAGAGTTGAGAATCCTGAGTGGGATCTGCCGAAGGCTGCATCCTCTCCAATCGTACCCTCCAACTGACAACTCCTAAGGATAAATATGATTTATTACGCTAATTGTACACAAGAGTAAAGCTAGATAATAGCATGGCTTACTCAAAAATAACATTTAAATATGCTTCATTACATTACACGCTGTCACACAATGTGTAAGAGAAATAACGATTCACAGCTCCTCCCCCATAGATGATAGCGTGATCTGGACTAGCTTATCTCAGTATATGGGGCCGTTCAAATATTATGTAAGCAGATTTTTACAATTATTTACCCCCCTCCATCCCCCTTGTCAGCAAGAGCAAGCAACGATCTTACCCCCTCCCCCTTTGCTTACGTAAACATTTTAAATTATATCTTTTTTATATTGTAATTTTAATATTCTCTTAGATACCATATTGTCTAGTTCTGTCGGTTTATGCTTGTAATTTATAATTTCAATATGAGGGTTGCCATTCGTGTAAAAAAGTTAATAATTACCGATGACGTAATCATCATATAGACTCCCCTACCCCCCATATCATCCGAAATAAGCATACAGAGACCCCTCCACCTCCACATGGTGCTTACGTAATACTTGAACAACCCCTATTCACGTAAGTAACCCGCGATTGATAGTTAATTCAGTATACCTCACGATAGTTATTATAAAAACATTTCATCCTTAGTACGTAATTTATAGTTTTGAAATCTCTTATTTCAGTCGTGCGTGCTAATCGCCAAAGGAGGATGTACACTGAGTAAAGTATGTGATTGGACACCTGGAGGAACAACTACGGTAAAGGATCAAACAACTACTGCCGCACCTGGGACTACTGTACAGGATGTCACAACTACTGCTGCGCCTGAGACTACTGCACAGGATATAAAAACTACTACCGCGCCTGAGACTACTGCACAGGATGTAACAACTACTACCGCGCCTGAAACTACTGCACAGGATGTAACAACTACTGCCGCACCTGAGACTACTGTAAAGTATATAACAACCACTGTCGTGCCTACGACGACTTTAGCTCCAACAACATCATCAGATGACATTCTCGATGTCGACACTAAGACCGAAGCCCTTGATGATACGACCACGGTAGCGGTTGACACTATCAACGAGGCTCCCTTCTGTACTGCGGGCGTATTTGGCAACGTACCTCACCCAGACAGATGCGACGCGTACTACTTTTGCTTCGCCGGCAACGCCTTTCTGTCTACATGCGACGAGGGACTCGAATTTGACCCTGAATCCAAGGTATGTTTTTGACAATATTCTTAATGTACCCCTTCAGGCTCAGCTCTTGAGTTTACGTGCGTTTACGTAACTTAAAGTTTTTTGAAATTAAGTAAAAAATGTGTTGTTTTAGACATGCATACCAATCGCCAAAGAAGGATGTACCATGAGTGAAGCGACAACACCTGAAGGAGAAACTACTGTATAGGATGTAACAACTACTGCCGCGCCTAAGACTGCTGTGTAGTATATTAGTGACGGTATGTCAATATTTCGTGATAATTGTATGTGAGGGTGTTTGAATAAAAGTCAGTGTTTAACCAACTTGCGTGCGTTTCATTACATACTGTACAGGATGTAACAACTACTGCCGCGCCTGAGACTACTGTACAGGATGTCACATGTCACAGGATGGACATTGTGTTTTGGCGAACAGTTAAAACTTTGCAGGATCTATATAGCATCGATGTAGGAAAGAGAAAAAGATGGGAAAATGCTACTTTCAGAATGACTCTCTGAGCTCGTTCTAGAGGGAGTATAATAGTTTTTGTTGCGCCACCCCAAGAAGTAACACAGTACTGAATAATTGACTGACACTGCTAGATAAATTTGAGTTATCATTTATTTGAAGATGTGCATAAATTTTCTGACTCGTGCAACTAAAGTGTTAATATGTTGTTTGAAACAGAGAGTTTCATCAATTGTGATGCTGAGATATCTAATGGAAGTAGTTTTCATATACAAGGGCAGTTGCATGTGCCCACTGGACTGATTTTACGTTTATGTGCGTACTAGCTTTTACCCGCGGCTTCGCTCGCGTCACAAAAAGATAAAACGTAGCCTATGTGACTACCCATCCCTTCAACTACCTTCAGTTGAAAAATCACGTTAAGTACCTCCGTTTTGCCGTTTAAGACAGGCAAACAAACAAACAGCTGTTCGCTTGCGTGGAATTCGGTTATAACGCGCGTTTTAGATTTTTCCGTGGGAATGAAGTTCTGCCGCGGTAAAGCCTTGCTTTTCCAGGACTCAAACTGCCTTTATACCAAAATCGATTCAGCCGCGTGAAAGAACAGAAGAAGTTATTTTCGCATTACCACAAATACCTCCTCCGATTTTAATTTAAAAGACTTCTATTTCCTATAAGGGTTATATTTGCAATGCTAAACCAAAACTGAGAGGTAAACTATATTATACGTTTTATTATCGAAAACCTAACTACTTTAGACACATACTTAGAAATAAACCACTTCACTAATCTAACCTAACTAATATAGCTACTGTATCAATCAACGTAAACAATGAACAAAGCGTCTTAGAACTACGAAAAAAAATTACTATAGTACTTTAAATATCTACCTAGGAAAAATAACACTCAACTAATCAAACCTACAAAGCGAACAAATAATAATCATTATAAGCGCTAGATGCGTACCCTAAAATATAGTTGATACGGATAGTCAGAACCTATACTTTCGCCGGTAACGACACCATAGCGCCATCTAACTCGATCCTAATGCCATCTATCGAATGGTTGGAACCAAAATTTAAAAGCGAAGAATACTTAAAAACCACAACGCTATTCCGTTTTATAAACACTCAGCGCCATCTATCGCCAAGTAGCGTAACTACCACTTAGACACCAATTTCGTGTACCTTTAACAACCTAAAATCTATAAAATACCCAATTCAATGTAAAATGGTAGGAATCAAAATTTAAAACCGATAAAAATACTTAAAAAACAACGTTACCCCGTTGAATATATAATAATAAACACTCAGCGCCATCTATCGCCAAGTAGCGTAACTACTACATAGTCACCAATTTTGTGTAACTTTAACAACCTAAAATCTATAAAATACGCAATTTAATGTAAAATGGTTAGAACCAAAATTTAAAAGCGAAAAATACTTAAAAAATAGCGTAACTACTACATAGACACCAATTTCATGTACCTTTAACAACCTAAAATCTATAAAATACACAATTCAATGTAAAATGGTAGGAACCAAAATTTAAAAGCGATAAAAGTACTTTAAAAGCTCAACGCTACTCCGTTTTATAAACACTCAGCGCCATCTATCGCCAAGTAGCGTAACTACTACACAACGTTACCACGTTGTGTTTTTTAAGTATTTTTACATAAAAAATAGCAAATAAATGAGTCGAAAAGCGCACTGAATAAGTGTAGATTAACACCAAATAAGCGCTATAGATTAAAGCGTGAAATTTCCAATTAGTAGGTAATTCGTTGAATTGTTTTAGATGGCACACAGCGCCATCTATACTAATATTTTTGTTTTCCCTCGGGAATATCACATTTTTCCGGGGTAAAAAGTACCCTATTATTTAATCTGGACTTCTAACTTTACGTCTGCAAAATTTCAAAGCAATCGGTTTAGTAGTTACGGCGTGAAGGTGGAACAAACAAACAAACTCACTTTCAGATTTATAATATTAGTAAGGATAATTGGAGTGTAACAGAGGTAATTGGAGTCTTATGCATAGAAAAGTGAATAAATTTTGTCTTGTCCGCATTTAATGTCAGTAAATTAGAACAAAGCCAACTATTAACTGAATCAAAAGCCAATTGAGCATTACAGTACAGTTCGGTGTCGTTATTGGATGAAAAAATTAGGGCCGTGTCGTCAGCGTATGATATTAATTTCCCATGATGCATGTCGGTATGACACTATAAGTATATATAATAAAAGGACCAAGAATACTCCCTTGTGGAACTCCAAAACTAGTATTTTTCTGCCATCGCGTCATCGTACGTCATCTATTCTAACACACTGGTTACGGTCATCTATATAATCAGCAAAGAGGTTCAGTAGTGTGCCTCTGATACCCATACATTCCAGCTTCTTTAGAAGCTGTGGAATAGACACAGTATGAAAAGCTTTGGTGAGATTAACAAATATTCCTAGAAAATGATTGCCTTTGCCCAGTTCTTCTGAGATATATCTGAGAGTGTATGTGTTACCGGCCTAATCCGATTTCAGGACAAACTAGTTTTGCCTAGGCTAAACTAGTTCTTCCTATACGCGTTAGGATTAACTAGTATAGCCTAGTTCAAACTAATTTGGCCTAAGCCCGATAGGATAAACAGGTTTGGGCTAGGACAAACTAGTTGATACTGATATAAATACGCACAATCTAGGATAAACTGGTATGGCCTAGTCTAAACATTGTAATATATCTAGAAAGGAATCCTTGGCTTAAAATGTCAATCGAAGCCTGCCAATTTCGCCCGACATTTTATAAGACGACAAAGCCCGCCTTATGTCCACAGCGACGTTGATGTTGGCAGACATGTCAAGCAAATTCTGGCAACGTTGCGCTACTCCACCCAACGTCAATGGCGACGCGTGTCGCTGGAGATTTGTCCCTAGTGTATTCTTGCCTTTAGAGCATGTCTATTCTGTCATAGTACCAGAACTTTCGTCGTCGTCTGTCGTGGTGGCCCGTAGGTTTAAAACGCCCACCACACGCCAATGCATGAGGGTGCGGGTTCGAAACCTACCAACGGCAAGTACCAATGTGACTTTTTCCGAGTTATATGTACTTTCTAAGATTATTTAGACACCACTGACAAACGGTGAAGGAAAAACATCGTGAGGAAACCTGGACTTATAATTTCTAATTATAAGTTTGAAATCGCCAACCCGCATTGAGCAAGCGTGGTGATTAATGCTCCAATCTTCTCCGTGTGAGAAGAGGCTTTGCTCAGCAGTGGGCATTTATAGGCTGCTGATGATGATGACCAGAACTTTTATTTGTACAATGGCATTCTTAATTATTAAAGTAGGTTTAAAAATATTAGGGTCCATCTCTGTTATACGAGAAATAAAAGGGGAGATGCAAAATAATGTTTTATTTCCTAACATACTACTAACTTGTAGAACAGAGTGCAATATCAACGAAATCAGACAGCTCATTTAATACATTCTTCGTGTCCTTATCATGTAAATCTACCTTCACTTTTATAGGAATAGGTATCCCTGACAACTCTTTATTAATCAAACGTAATGTATCATCATTGCCTTTAGCAATAGAGTTTAAAATCTCACGAACGTTCTTTGGTACGAGCGAGTCATCTAGTTGATTTAAAATCTCTTCAGATACCATTTTAAGAAATACTGACATAGGACAGGTTAGCACTGTAGGTGATGCGGCATCTTTAGTCAAGTTTAATTCATCTTCAGAATTCAGATTAATTAACAAATTTTCCAAAGATTTTGGTTCACAATTTTCATCAGCATTAACTGAATTACAATTTTCTTTGTCTTTTTCTATCTGTTCAGTGTCTCTTTTTAATCTTCTGATGAAATCAAATGCATTGCCTATTAAACCGTCAATCGGTAGATTGTTCGAATGTGGAATAAGACCTCCTTTCAGAATATCTTGTGCCAAATCTAGATCTTGTTTTTTAAATATTATAGGTATTGGAATGTGTTTTTTTAGCTTTATCAATGGTACCAGCGACCTAAAGGAAGGAGTTTCTGCTTTTGGGAGCTCTAAATCTTCATCTATTATCACTGGAGTATCATGTTTAGATGCATCATGATCTGTAACATTTAAATTATCATTTTTGTTGCTTATATTTATAGAAGTTATTGTTTAATTAATATTGTTGTTTAATTTTTTTGTTCATTCACTTTTGATGTTAAATTTGTATGGTTTTTGAAAGTGTCAATTATTATCGGTCCTGCTCTTTCTTTATCATTTAAGTGCTTCCTCAATGTATCTTTTAAATTAATATTACTTGTCGAGTTACTTAAAGCATCTGTATCAATTTGTACATTTGTTATATTGCCTGAATTAAGTAACAGAAATACGTGTTTGTAATTAAAATTACTGGTGTTTTCTTCTAGCAAATTGTTTACAACATTTTTAATACTTGATTTCACTAAATCACTAATTTCAGTATTATCTAATTTAATATTTGTTATTCTTACTTCAGTTGCGTTATTATAGTAAGTTTTATTATCATTTATTATCATAGTTTCATTGTTAACAGGAGAATGTATACTAAAATCGTTTATAATTCCAGAATTAATAATCAAAACAACTGTTTCTCGTTTATTTTGCACCGGATCATCATAGACAGATACATTATCGTTTTTCTTTTCATCATACCTATAATTAGTAGAATTATTTTTAAATTGATAATTATTAAAATCGTTCCAAACTTTATCTCTATTATTAATAGTATCATTAAAATCAGTACCGTTTGCTACTTTTTTATCAGATTTTGTATTATTTTCTTCTTTAACTTTATCTCCAGTTGCGGCTGTAGTTTCAGCGCCTAGATTACCGCTATCATCTATGGCTGGTTCAGTCGCATTTTTTAGAGAAACTGTAGATTTCTTAACTTTTGTTGATACAATTTCATCATTTTCGGCAATGTTTGGGTCTAGCGTCTGCAAAATAAAAGTGTTATTAGTTTTTACATCTACTTTTAGTTCGATTTCAAAGTGGTTATCAGAATTGGGTTCATTCTCATGAATGATAGTGCCAATTGTGACTAGATAGTGATTAGAAGATTGATAAATAGTCTTGAATTATAATCTAATGCTGGTCAATAGACTTGTCCTTGATTATACAATATACATGGACTAGTAATCAAAATGATAAAATTTTATGTAAACTTGACTATACCAGACTCATCCCCTATTACATGGGACTTATAGAGGTAATACAACTGGTGTAGAAAGGGTGTTACATTGTACTTGTGCATCTTTGTCAACTGTTAAAATGTATAATATTATGTGCGAGTGTGGGGACTGCCTCGTTGGCCGAGTGGTTGCAAGTGCGATTGCGGCAAGGGAGATCCCTTGTTCGATACCCGGGTCTAGCAAATGATTACTGGGTTTTGAAAAAAAAGCGTAGTACGGAGTCTAGAATTGTGCCCGGTATATGGCAATAGGCTCACCTCCTATTACATGGGATTCATAACGTTAATAATGAAAAGTGGGGGTGACATTGTACAGTGGCATTAGATGTCGTAATGTGCACCCCTGTCAACCCCTTCGGGATATAAGGTGTTATGTTATGTTATATATGTATGTATGTGTGGAGTACCATTTCTTTAAAACTAATTTCCATTAGATCTTTGCCCTCTTTCACAGTAATATCTAGAATAATGTAATATTTTGTTTCTTTCTTTAATATTTCAGTGTTATGATCCTGGAAATGTATATTTTCATCGTCAATTAGATTTGTTAAAGTAAATGGATAATAATGTGTATTAGTATCATGCGATATTTTGAATCAATATGTGTCGTGAGTATTTTATTTCGACGCGAACTGCGAAGTGGCGGGGACGCGACTATTCGCGCGGCGGAATTTGCAGGTCACAGAGCATGTTATTATAAAAGACGGAACTTAGAATTTAAATTTGTAACTATTCCATAACCGATTTTATCTTATACTATTATATAAAGCGGAAGAGTTTGTTTGTTTGTTTGTTCGAACGCGCTGATCTCCGTCGCTACATGTCTGATTTGAATAATTCTTTTTGTGTATTCGATTTATCGAGGATGGCTATAGGCTATAAAACATCACGCTACGATCAATAGGAGCTGAGCAGATCGTGTGAAACCGCGCGGAAGTAGCTAGTACCTTATAAAAAAACAATTCTGACCAACAATAAAATCCGACTGAATTTTCGTTTTCCCGAATGTTAGCTACCGCAGGTTGTTTTTTAAGGGGGGAAAATCATCGAATGACTGCTCCCGCCTGGGTGAGGCGGGAGGGAGTATCAGACTCTTACTGACTAAAAACCACCCCGTTCCTTCTTCTGCACGTCGAGCCGGAGCCCCGGTTACCCGTTAGGTTCTCCGCGACTCAGCTACCGCAGGTTACGGACTCCATACACAAATGAATTATACTAAAAGTTTCGTGAGACAAACTAATACGGTAGTTGACAACTAGTCAAATTCAATACTTTTATCGAAACGTCAAACACGATACTGTTCTATGAATTTTGTACGAAATACTAGCTTATGACGTCATCATATTTTCGCGTCAAACAGCACACTTATATCTAAAGAAAATGCGAGAATAAATCGAAAATTAAGTATATCGGCCAATCAATGAATGAAAGTGTAACTATTTTTGAATATTTAATTGGACTGAAAAATCTAAATAATTTATTTTTGACCCAGGAAACTACCCAATTAATTAGACTAGTTTCACGCCATGCTAGAGGCTTGAAACTAGTCGAGTTCCTCGTCAAATAGTTACCTACGTGAGTAAGCCGAAAACATAATAATTAAACATGTATTAGTTCTAAGTGTCATAAGACTGGCGCCGTGCCGTACTGATTCATTCATTTGTTTCACTCGCCGGTGAATTCGCCCGATACGTTTCGCCGGTCACGCCGCCCTGTCGCCGCTCTCCATGCTTGCTCTGTATATTTCTGTATTTGTGTCTGTCGCTAGACGCCTCAACAGCCGCAGGTTCCGTGGCCAGGATGTAAGTGTAGTCATGGCTGCTGAATGAACGGATTTATAATTACCACTAAATCATCGAGAGTAGATTTATCTTCCTGAGGTAGAGGTGTCAGCAGAGATGGTACCCATTGCAAAAGTAATAGGAAGAAAGCTGAAACAAAAACCAATCGTTATATAACTGCACAGTTGGTGCACTGCTGCTGATTGCACGGTTGGCGCGGTGGCTGGGCAACCGGCTGGCGCGCATCGTGACGCGGGTGTGGTTCTCGCAGGGAACAACTCTGCGTCTTTATAAACACACACACACAGGAGGAAATCCTAGAGTGGGGGTAAAGTTATAATAACTTAATAAAAATACCCTCATCGTTCGCTTGATCACATTGACGCTTAAAAGTGCCTTGTATGTAGCTTATTTGTAGAAATAGATTCACTTGTTTGTTTCACAATGATTGAGCAACATGCTGTGCAACACGCCGTGGATTCGGTGTTTCCACAAAAAAAATTGGAGCCTGGTTACCTACGTAAAACTTTATCTTGTGTCCACGACAGATATGCGCCACCCATGGATACCCGCAACCAGAGGATTCTCAGGTGTGTTGCCGGCCTTTTAACAAGGAGTACGCTCTGTTCTTGAAGATTTGAAGGTCGTATCGATCCGGAAATACCGGCGACGACAGATTATTCCAGTTTTGCTATGCGAGGCAGAAAGCTACGAGAGAAGCGTATAGTTGTGGCCTGCCAACCATCTATATGATTGGATGGATATGCTGTCGTGAGTGTCGATGGTGAAAATACGCGGCAGGTATACGACTAAACAATTTTTTTTTATGGCATAAGTCGGTAAACGAGCAGACGGATCACCTGATGGTAAGCAATCGGCGTCGCCCATGGACACTTGGAACACCAGAGGCGTTACAAGTGCGTCACCGGCTTTTTGGAGATTAGGAGTTTGAGGATCGTTGGGGATTTAGGGATTGGGGAGATTGGGGAAGGGGAAGGTAATTGGGCCTCCGGTAACCTCACTCATACGACGAAACACAACGCAAGCGTTGCTCCACGTCGGTTTTCTGTGAGGCCGTGGTATTACTCCGGTCGAGCCGGCCCATTCATGCCGAAGCAGGGCTTTCCCACAATTCCGTCAAAAGCCTTCGTTTTTTGGAAACGTTCTGTTTAAAATGAAATAGGTAGATAGGTAGGTACTTACTGAATTTAGTTCCGAACATGTTAAAAGCGGGCACTAGCCACAAATTTTCCTAAACCAATAATACATAAATATTTTTTATTATAATTACAACTAATTAGGCTATTAGAAAACGAATCGATTTACAAATATTAGTTGCAGTTATTAGTATGGCATGCTATTGTTTCAAATATATTTTGTAGGGTTCTAAAAAATTAAAGCACTACATTATTATGTATGTATGTATTATTTATTGTCTTTAAGGTTATTTTCTTTTTCGATCACTTTGACTAGATTTTAGTGTTAAGTTGTTCTCGCACAATCCAAACAGCAAACTATGTAACTAGAGAATTGTATTGTGAACCTGATTGAAAAAGAGTAACCTATGGAGTTTCTTGCTCGTTCTTCTCCATAGGAATCTACACCTTGGAATGAGCAAATACCTTCACTTTTAATTTTATTGTTGACGTTCAAAAGTGCCTTAAATGATTTTGACTTTGACTTTGACTTTGACTATGGGAGAGTAAATAATTCATTATAATGTTTTTTGGCTCACGTTTTCAGAAGACACGCGCCAATCACGCACAGCCACAGTATAAAAATCATACAGTAGGACGACGCCTTTATTCACGCATCGGCCAGGGTTGTCAAATATAATAATACATATTATAAGCTAATAAGTAAGTGGGTGAGTATCTAACTCATCAGTACCTACTATAATATAGTTATATTTTTGCTTTTTAATTTTTACTTTTTATTTGTTTTTAGTTTTTAGGTTTTTTTGAGAAGTCGGTTTTTTAAACGCAATTTTTATTTTTTATTTTATTATTGTTAGTGTAAAGCTACATAAACCCGTTTTGTCACTTATAATCCACATTGATGCAAAGTTCTAATCAATACAAATAATACAAACCCAAACACAAGGTAGTTACTGTACCTACACAGTTGATGAGTTACTTACATTTCGACAGCACCATCAGTTTAAAAAACCATGAAAACGATACCCATGACGATAAATGACATGACATAGCAGTGTACTTAGGTAAGTCTAAATGTAAGAAAGTAGTACATAAGAAGAAAAGACAAGAAAAGTTGCTAACTTTGTTTAGTCAAAATCTGTAGAAATTGAGTAATTTTTAGAAAAATTTAATTATGATATTGTTTGTATAACTGAACATTGGCTGAAGGATTATCAAGTAAAATCTATAAATTTTAGAAACTATTGTGTTGGGAACTATTTTAGCCGTCAAACAATGATACATGGTGGTAGCCTAATTTTAGTTAACAATTCAGTGAAATATAAAGAAAGACAAGATATTACATTATTGTCAATAGAGCACACAATAGAGTTGTCCTGTGTTGAGCTGGATAAGCATATTGTAGTGTGTGTTTATAGACCTCCTAATTCACAAAATTTTAATATTTTTAGCTCCATAATGGAAGACGTACTGCAAAAAACGTGTGGTACCTAGTAGTAAATGTATCATAGTATGTGGCGATTTTAATGTTTATCTCTTGGAAAATAACTCTATAGTACTAATTTGTTAAGTCTCTTTAAATCTTTTGATTTGTGTAATGTTGAGCCCACCTGTGTAACATCCACCACGGCAACATGTAGGTATAGATAATGTTTTTTGTTACTGTGATTATTTACATCAACATATTGTTAATAGATTATCATCTGATCACAGTGTTTTTTTTTATTATAACATAATCACCAATGTACAAAAAAGAGAAATTATGTTTAGACAGATCTCTAATAAAAAAAAGAGTCATTAAATAATAATTTAAAAACTGAATTATGCGGTCAGATACAAGATAGTGAATACCCGAGTGAGACTTACGCCAATCTATTGTCAATTATTAAAACTCAATTTGATAAAATATTCCCTTTGAAACGTAAAAATATTCAATGTAGGTTTGTGTTCTGTGACAGGGCTACACAGGTATACGTATAAGTAGGGAAATGTTATTTGAGCTTTATAGTATGAAACCATTTAATCATAGTGAGGTTTTTCACAGTTATGTCTCCAAATATTCGAAAATGTTTAAATTAGTTAGTAAGCATGCTAAAGTACTTTATATTACCAATAAAATTAAGACCGCAGAAAATAAAATAAAAGCTACCTGGAATATAATTAATGACGAGACAGGCAGAAATAAGTCACGTAGTGCTGAATTTAATCTAAATACTGCGAATTAATTCAAATTTGAAAGTTGCCCAGGAATTTGAAAATTTCTTTAAAAATATTCCGATTAAAACTACGGAAGCGTTGAAATCATCTCCAACTTCTTCTGTTGAACTCCTTAAAAGTAATGTCAAGGAGTGTCTTTCTGAATTTCGATTTCAGTACACAAATCCCCAAGCAGTAATTAAAGCGACAAAGATATCAAAGTTAAGTCGACTGAAGATATCTGGGGAATGGCTGTTAGGGTGTGTAGGGCTTTTATAGAGACTATAGCGCCTCATTTAGATTCCATTTTTAATAAAAGTGTCGATCACGGAGTTTTCCTGGATTTAATGAAACATAGTAAAGTAGTTCCATTGTTTAAATCCGGTGATAGCGCAGAACCCAATAACTATAGGCCGGTCTCTATTTTACCAGCGCTCAGCAAAGTGTTTGAAAGGCTGATGCTTTCTCAGATGTTGCGTCACTTCAACATTAATTCCGTCTTTGATGCTCAACAATACGGATTCACCAAGGGTCGCTGCACTACTGACGCGGGAGTGGCTCTAATTAAGCGGGTTTTCGCCTCATGGGAAGAAGCATGGGATGCCATCGGAATATTTTGTGATCTTTCGAAGGCATTCGACTGTGTTGAACATGAAACACTGAAGCTGAAACACTACGGCATTCGGGAGACGTCGCTAAATCTGTTGAAATTATACCTTCAGGATAGGCAACTTAAAGTACAAGTACATATAGTAAATTTACAGGGTGCTAGCATATCTATGGGTGTACCGCAGGGCTCGATACTAGGTCCATTCTTATTTTTAGTGTACATAAATGACTTGCCCCATTTATTTAAAAATGAACCGCAGATGGTATTATTTGATGATGACACTTCATAAGTTTTTAAAATAAATAGACGCACAAATAATTATAACGACGTAAATAATGCCCAAATGAAAGTTCAAAATTGGTTTACAATAAATAACTTAGTACTAAACAATAAAAAGACAAAATGTATTAGATTTGTTTTGCCAAATGTTAAAAGTAACGAATATGACATATTATTGAATGGTGAGAAATTAGAGTTTGTAAAAGAGACAACTTTCCTGGGAATTACTGTAGACGACAAATTGCAATGGGGTCCTCACATTACATCATTAGCGGGACGATTGAGCTCTGCAGCTCGTTCCTGGGATTCTGTGTTATATGTTATAATAAGATACCAGGCGACATACAACACCTATATGAATCAAAATTTAAATTATGTATAAAGAAAACTTTATGTAGACAAGCGTATTATAAACTTAATGATTAGATAGTGTATAAAAATGCTTGGATACAGGCCAGTCCGGCTCCACAGGATAACAAAAAACACTGATGTTTTAATGAAATCGTAAATAATACAGCCATATTGCTAAATTGTATATTGTTTAACTTAGATAACCATTGTGAATGTGAGAGCCTACAGGGCTCTCTTTAACTTAATATTAAATTAGATTAGTAGAATTCATTTGTGTCAGCTTGGAGTTGTCATGCTCACTCAAAGGTCTCATTGGCGGTGGCGCGTGCAGTGGATCGTTTGATTCCCTACAATATGGTTGAGTTGGGCGGTGCTGGTGTACGTGTCATGTTCGTGAACGGACGCCGTCAACTGGGACAGGTCAGCTCCAGACTGTATTATTTATTGTCCTTAAGGTTATTTTCTTTTTCGATCACTTTGACTAGGTTTTAGTGTTACATTGTTCTCGCACAATCCAAACAGCAAACTATGTAACTAGAGAATTGTATTGTGAACCTGATTGAAAAAGAGTAACCTATGGAGTTTCTTGCTCGTTCTTCTCCATAGGAATCTACACCTTGGAATGAGCGACTAGCTTCACTTTTAATTTTGTTGTTGACGTTCAAAAGTGTCTTTCTGGTCTAATAGTAATAAATGATTTTGACTTTAGGCATAAAAATAATTATTAAATTTGCAAGAAATAAAATCACCTGTCGTATATCAAAATATATATTTTATTTATTTAATGCAATATAAAAATAAGTACAATCTATATAAATAGAAAATGAATCACCGATAAGTTTGTACGTGCATAACTCCCGAACTACTGAACTAAAATCGATAATTCTTTTTACTTGAAATTGCAATATTTAAGACAAGATTTATACGAAAGAAAAAAATCGACACATTCACGGAAAACAAGCAACGAATCGGGATAAGTGGCGACATCTAGTGAGGAAAATTAGAAAGAGTCACGATGTTCAGCAGTTAGGAAATCGACTAAGGAGCGTCTGGCAACATTGAACAATAGCAGTTGGGTGAAGCTGCGTAGATAGACGACTGATTATATGTCGTAGACAGCCGCTGTACGCTGGTCGCTTCTAACCTCGCGATGTGTGTAGCCATTGGTGGAGGACTGTGGGGGGTAGTGGATAGTATGTGGCTGTACGCATGATGATAATGAAGCTGAGAGACTAGCTTTTAATAAAGCTAAGCAAATATTTTAATAATTCTGAGTCTACGCCTCTTATGCCTTTTTTTAATCTGCATGTCTGGAACAAAAATGTTACAATTTATTTATGAAATGTTTTTTTTATGGCATCAGCCGGTAAACAAGCTAACGGATCGCCTGATGGTAGGTAATCAATCGGCGTCGCTCATGGATACTTGGAACACCAGAAGCGCTACAAATGTGTTACCGGGCTTTTGGGGATTAGGAGTTTGAGGATTGTTGAGGATTCGGATATTGGGGAGATTGGGGAAGGGGGGAGGGTAGCCGGGCCTCCGTTCCGTTCCTCTGTTCAAAGGATAACGGGCGGTCTTCCTTCTTTCTTTCAAGACTATAATTTTTTATTATGGGGGCTAGTCTTAATTCGTTGTGGGGACAATACAAATATTGTTTTTTTACTTTTAAGAATTTAAATTTATAATAGTCTTAGGTTGACCGTACATGGAATCCAGACAAAACTGTTTTTTTAAGATATTAAATAAAAGTACAACTTGTAATATAATTTTTTTATTTTTTTTAAGGGGGGAAAATCATCGAGTGACTGCTCCCGCCTGGGTGAGGCGGGAGGGAGTGTCAGACTCTTACTGACTAAAAACCCCTGTTCCTTCTCCTGCACGTCGAGCTGGAGCCCCGGTTACCCGTTAGGTTCTCCGCGACAACTTGTAATATAATAGACATCATTTACTGCTTAGCAATGACCCTATTTCTCAAATACAGTAACAAAATAATATTTAGTTAGTTATAGTTTTATACATACCAGGAGTTTTGGATCAAACACATATTTGTGTGGACATTGTTGAGGTAGCGGCGTGCCATTGTAGCAGATAATGTAGCGGCTCTCACTTTGAGGGTCCACCACAAACTGGGTGGCGTCTGACGGACATAGCGACTTGCAGAGCACTTGGTATGATGGGAGACATATCTGGAAGAAAAGGAAATAAAAATGTTATTATACAATAGGGTAGATGCCTAATTTTTATTTTAATGTCCGTCTGGTAGATTATTTGAAATCATTAGACACGTATTTTTTATTTTCTTACAGATACGAATAATTTCGACGATATATTGAATTGAAATGTCGCGTGACGTCACTTCTATGTACATTTTATACGTAGACATGACGGTATAGCTCCCACTCCTAAACTTTGATTCATTTTATCTAAGTATTGTTTTATTGTACGACAAAATAAAAAAATACATGTTTAATATTTTTTAATTACCTAACTTACGGGCTAATTACATTTTTAATTTTCATACCCTGTCATCATCCCAAGTGTTGTGGATTTTTCGTAATCGGGGATTAAGGAGTAAAGTACTTTATATAAGAGTATTAAAGTGCTTTAAATTGACAATCAAAATGCTATTTATTGTGTGAGTTGGAAAAAACAAGCAAAAAAGACTTTTAATACGTGTGTCAAAGATCTTACTTTTCAGTATCTAACGTTTTAGTAACACTTATGACACACGCATTAGGTAATGACGTTTTTGCTTTAAAATTAATTACCTGTACACACGGCTACACATCAATCTATACAAAACCAGTATATCCTGGTGTCGCGTCGCATCATCGTTCCGCACATTAAACGTTCAGTTTATACTGGTTATGTAAAGCTCGATGTGTAGCCGTGTGTACCTACTCATTTCTGCTTATATGCAATAAACAGAAATTTCGAAAAATATTTCCCAATCCCGTACATAACTCATTGAATGTATCCTTTTGCATTGACCTCTCAAAATAGTGGGTATTTTAGGAATTTAAATATACGTATTAATCGCCACGCTAGCTCAATGCGGGTTGGCGATTTTAAACTTATAATTAAAAATTATAAGCCCAGGTTTCCTCACGATGTTTTCCTTCACCGCTTGTCAGTAGTGTAGAGATAATCTTAGAAAGTCATTATAACTTGGTAGAAGTCACAATCTTAGTAGCTTTCGAACCGCACTCTCATGTATGAAAATACTTAGGGGGCCTCTTAAACCTCCCGGCTTCCAGCGGGTCAGCACGACATTCAACGTCAGTATAGTTATCATCATTTTACTGTTATTCCGAAACAGGAAAAGACCTAAAAAGGTGCAATATGAGACGAAAAAAGAAACATTTTACTCGCCTGTTTTTCAACACTAAATGAGAAATTGTCAGGACAATGCAGCAGCGTAGATTTTCCTAAAGAACAAATGTAGTATCTTCTGCAGTCTTTCGGGTCTTCTAAGAAGACTAGGGGAAGGTTCGAGTAGTCTGCACAGATTGCGTCTTTCCAGTTTCTTGGAGTAGACTGGTCTTTTTCGAAGCAGTTCACTTGTGATTTCGGTAAGCATTCCTGTGGACAATTGTTTAATTATTATTATTAAAAAAAGTAATTTCTAATCTCTAAAATCTACCTGGAAATCAAACACAACAACCTGTGCTCGACAGTCACGTTTATAAAACAACCAATTAAACTGTCAAACACCAAGCGGTCACCGGTGACCGCGACCTATTGTTCTTTAATTGTGTCTATAAAACCGGTACTCGACGAGTTAATAAAAATATTTTTTTAATTATTCGCTAATAACCTTTTTTTTAAACCGACTTCAACAGCCTCTTCTTTTGAAATCACTTAATTGATATACTAAAACCTTCTCCTAAATGTAATCAAACTCAAGCAGCAACGAGATATTTGCGCACAAACATACAAACCTACATATAAGTACGTCAAATTAAGAACCTCCTTCTATTGTTGACGTTTGTTAAAAAAAGTGTGAATCCTATATACATACATACATAACATCACGCCTTTTATCCCCGAAGGGATAGGCAGAGGTGCACATTACGACACGTAATGCCAGTGTACAATGTAACACCCACTTTTCACTATTTATGTTATGAGTCCCATGTAATAGGGGGTGAGCCTATTGTCATATACAGGGCACATTTCCAGACTCTGTGCTACTACTGAGATTAAAAAAAAACTAGTAATAATTTTCCCTTGCCCGGCAGTCGCACTTGCGACCACTCGGCCAATGAGGCAATCATGAATATATCCTATATCTAAGAAAATAAAACAAAATTAGTGTTAAAATATATTCGAACAGATAGTTTTCATCAACAGCCTATAAATGCCGACTGCTGAGCAAAAGCCTCTTCTCACACGGAGAAGATTTGAGCATCAATCACCACGCTTGCTCAATGCGGGTTAGCGAATACAAACTTATTATTAAAAATGATAAACCCAGGTTTCCTCACGATGTTTTCCTTCACCGTTTGTCAGTGGTGTCTAGATAATCTTAGAAAGTACATATAACTCGGAAAAAGTCACATTGGTACTTGCAGTTGGTAGGTTTTGAAACCGTACCATCATGCACGAGAAGCGGGCGTCTTAACCCTCCGGCCACATTTGCCTGTCATACATAATTTAATGTACTAGGCAGAATAGGTATGAAACAAAAAAGTATTTAACAAAAAAAAATATGTATTAAAAACCTTGTATAATATATAATTAAAAAATTAAAACCATGATACGAACTATGCAACTACTATACTATACGACATAAGGAGTGGAACAAATTCAAATAGGTTTAAACGAAAATTGAAGTCATATTATTTAAAAAGGTCCTAATAATAAGTATAAGTTCTAACGCCTGTATAACATTTAAATATAAGTACATTTAATTGTACCTAATTCAACCCCACTGTCAAACCATTGCAACGGTTTTGTGGGGCTTACATGTCGGACTATTGAAACGTTACTCAATTTTAAGTCGCGCTTAAAGTATAGTTCTGTCACCACTAATTCTTTGTGAAATGACAGAGATAGCACGATATTTAAGCACGACTTAAAATTGAGTAACGTTTCAGTATTCCGGCATTCGATTATAAAATACTTACCTTTGTGATATAAAGAAAAATAAAATAATAAAAAAGCTAGCACATTATAAAGATGGCCGCGAAGAAAAAACTAACTTTCAAATTTCGAACACGCGCCCTTTTTTCCTTGTTTCTTTCTTGTTGTGTTGTTTGAATGCATTTTTTATTGTTACTTTGATAATTACGTTTCAATTTATGAAGTTAATTGTTGTTTTTTATAATTAGTCTGTATAAAATTTAAAGTAGAAAGTAATACAATTTACATACTAATATTTTTATTATGTACGTACCTATTAAGAATTAATATTCGTAATGTGTATGTATGTAAAAATTCAATAAAAAAAAATCAATTCAGTGGGACTTTGCAAGGCTGGCAACGTATGTAAGTAGTTTTAATATTTTTAATTAATAATGGCCATATGATTGTTAAATTGATTTTAAGTATTGTTTAAAATGAAAATAGTTTGGTGAAGATTTTTCTTCATTTTGAAAGAGTTCAAAAATGATGAACAGATTAAAAATATTTTGTCTATCTGTATGTTCACGCATCACGCAAAAACTACCGGTCTGATTACGATGAAACTTGGTATGACTATGCTTAATATTCTGGGCACAACTCTGGCACTACTTTTTATCGCGAAAAAGTCTATACACAAAATAACAAACTTAATTGTGCGGCTCAATCCCTACACGCAGTTACTGTACCAAACGCAAATATAAGTTTGTCGAATGTTAGTTTGCCCTCAGTGGACTTCACGCTGTAACTGTAGGACCGATAGTTGAAATTAGCTTGGACCGATATTATAAATGTGAAAACATGTGAGTTTGTGTGTATATTTGTTACTCAGTCACATTAAAACGACTGAAGGGACCGTGATGAAATTTGGAACAAAGGTAGATTGAGAAGTGTGGGAGAGCCATGCTTCAGCACGAATGGGCCGGCTCGACCGGAGTGATACCACGGCCTCACAGAAAACCGACGTGAAGCAACGCTTGCGTTGTGTTTCGTCGTATGAGTGAGGTTACCGGAGGCCCAATTACCTTCCCCTTCCCCAATCTCCCCAATCCCTGAATCCCCAACGATCCTCAAACTCCTAATCCCCAAAAAGCCGGTGACGCACTTGTAACGCCTCTGGTATTCCAGGTGTCCATGGGCGACGCCGATTGCTTACCATCAGGTGATCCGTCTGCTCGTTTACCGGCTTGTGCCATAAAAAAAGATTAAGGCCTGGGATAACACAAAGACTACATTTTATCCCTGAGAACGCGGGCAAAACCGCTGGCAGCAGCTAATAGCAAATAAAATAAGCCCGCAGGGCACCTTGAGGCGAGGTGACGGGCATTAGCGGCCCCGCGGGCTATCATCATCGCCAGTGTTCCAGGGAGAAGTCACCGTTCCTTATTCTCCAGCCTGCCTGTTCCTTAATTGGCTGGCTGGAGTGAATAATGACGAGGAATAGGTCTCCTACCTCTGGCTTGCCCCCATTGAGTTGCGAGTCTCCATTGAGAGAGTGGAGTCGCAAGAGCAGTGATCCTGCTCGGAGGGTAAGAAACTATTCGTAAGTCGCGAGTGGGCCAGGGATGCAGGAAGCTTCGGCTGGAGCAGATGATCTGAGTAGAAAGCGGTGGTAGTTTCTTAACCCTTCAGCCACTTACATTCTCGTTGCCCCTCTGTTGCTATATCTAGCAACCATTCCCGGGGCCCAGTCGGTGAGTTGGCGAGTCTCCGCCTTCCATTTTCACGTATAATACTTACATTGTTTCGGCAGGTGCCATAGTCATCCATAGTTCCCAATTTACTTGTCAACAGCAACCCATCCATAGCCCTACCTTTCTTTTTCATTATCCACAATAATTCTACACTAACTGTGGACTGTCCTTGGGTGCATTTCCATAGTGCATACAAGGATAGTCGCCGGTTTGTGTGTCCATTACATTTATATTAAAGTTGTCTAAAGAGCCTCTGCGCAGTTGGCTTCGGCCCCTCGTACGCCTCCCAAATGACCGGGACCCTGTGGTCCCGTGAATGGTAAAGACATACATAATAAAATAAATAATAGGTACTCACTTTTTCCAAAGCACTGAATCTATACTCCGCTGGACATGTTTCGTGGGTTAAATGTCCAAAGGTGCAAACATAGTACTGTCCACAATCAGTCGCATCAGCTTCTATCCACATGTCATATCTACTACAATAAGGTACTGGACGTATGACACGTGGTGTCGTAGTTACTATGGTTTGATTCGCATTGCTACAACCTGCTAATTCTTTTGGTAGGCATGCCTGTAAAAAAACATACATAATGAAAATTAACACAAGGATTTTCTCCCGTGTCGTGGGTGTGTTTTAGACATTTAATTAAATGAATTTCAATTTTAATTTGAATTCTTATTGACTACATAAATACTTCCCCATTCCTACTTCCATTTCGACACGGGTCGCAATAACTTATGGCGCTTTATCCGTAACACCGGTTTATCATAGCTAGACATAAAAACGGTAAAATTACGGATACATCTCGGTAAGTGTGCGGGGGAATTGCACAACTTGATTCTCCCTAGTCTTTTCCATCACCGTACAACAAGACAATCGGCAAAACGTCACCGTTTCATTTCATGGTAGATGTCCCACCCACATGCACAAAGCGCTTCGCATCAAGCTTCCTTGTGCGTACTGCTAAGGAGTGAAATTCTTTGCCAAAATCTGTATTTACTAAAGGGGTCTGTATAACCTAGGTGTCTTCAAGGCCCGAGTGAATAGGTTGCTTATTGGACGACGTGCTCCATCGTAGGCCGCATCATCGCTTACCACCAGCCGAGATAGTGGGCAAACGTCGGCCCATTGATTATAAAAAAATGTTCATAAACGCACCCCTACTATGAAGTTTTTAAAAAATATTATCATCATCAACAGCCTGTTTTCGTCCACTGCTGGACATAAGCTCTCCAATGGCACGCCACTGAGCTCGATCTTCAGCTCTACGCATCCAACCACTACCAGCCACCTTGCAGATGTCGTCACTCCACCTAGCTGGAGGGCGCCCTACACTACGTTTGCCTAGACGCGGTCTCCACTCCAAAAATATTATAAATTGCGCAAATACTTACGAAACTAGTAATGCTAGCCTCTGTCCCCTCAGGGCATTGTTCATGCAATATCTCACCGAACACACAAAGATAGAAGTATTCACAATTATGCGGATCTGGTTTAAACCACATATCTCTGTAGCTACATTTAGGAAGAGGAGCTGGTATTGTCTCTGAAGTGGTGATAGATGTTGTCTCTGGACTGGTGGCAGTGGCTGTCTCTGAGGTGGTGACAGTTGTTGTCTCTAACGTGGTGACAGTTGTTGTCTCTGAACTGGTGACAGGTGTTGTCTCTGAACTGGTGACAGGTGTTGTCTCTGGACTGGTGACAGTTGTGTCTACAATAGTGGTAAGTGTTGTTTCTATTGTGGTGGAAGGTGGTGGCCTAATTCTGTTATCAGGTGATGGGTCTTGTTTGGTAGTGGGTGTTATAGTTGTCGTTTCGCTGTTGCAATTCGCTTCAGCTGGCGGTTGGCAAAGCTGAAAACGATGTTATTATATTATTATTATTATACTAAAAAAAATTAATAAAAATAAGCTACATTTTAATATAGGCATCTAGAAATGTCATCGTGATAAAGCCTAGTAATATGTTTTCTCCTTGAACATCAAATTCAAAGCCAAATATAAACATAAACATATAGCAAAAAATATAAACATATAGCACACCGTTAACTAAATAAATATTCAAATAAAAAGTACCAAATATCACTTACCAAAAGAACTGGATTGAATTGGAAATCCAAAGGACATCGCTGGCTTGTTATTTTTCCAAACAAACACAATAGAAAACGGTCACAATATGAATACTGTGGTTTTAGCCACAAGTCTCTATTTGTACAAAGCGGTGTAGAACGTTTTGTTGTAGTTATGGTTGTATCTGAACTGGTGACAGTAGGTGTTGTCTCTGACGTGGTGAAAGCAGGTGTTGTCTCTGAGCTAGTGATAGGTGTTGTCTCTGACGTGGTGACAGCAGGTGTAGTATCTGAACTAGTGGCAGGTGTTGTCTCTGAGCTAGTGATAGGTGTTGTCTCTGACGTGGTGACGGAAGGTGTGGTCTCTGACGTGGTGACGGAAGGTGTGGTCTCTGAACTGGTGGCAGGTGTAGTCTCTGAGCTAGTGATAGGTGCTGTCTCTGAGCTAGTGATAGGTGTTGTCTCTGACGTAGTGACAGCAGGTGTGGTCTCTGAGCTAGTGATAGGTGTTGTCTCTGACGTGGTGACGGAAGGTGTGGTCTCTGAACTGGTGGCAGTTGTAGTCTCTGAGCTAGTGATAGGTGCTGTCTCTGAGCTAGTGATAGGTGTTGTCTCTGACGTAGTGACAGCAGGTGTGGTCTCTGAGCTAGTGATAGGTGTTGTCTCTGACGTGGTTACGGAAGGTGTAGTCTCTGAGCTGGTGACAGGAGGTGTTGTCTCTGAGCTGGTAACAGAAGGTGTTGTCTCTGACGTGGTGACAGCTGGTGTAGTCTCTGAAGTAGTAGAGGTTATTTCATCTTCATCTCTTCTCGATTTTGATGTTGTGACATCGGTGGTTTCAGAACTGGTAGCAGGTGCTGTCTCTGACGTAGTGACAGCAGGTGTTGTCTCTGAGCTAGTGATAGGTGTTGTATCTGACGTGGTGACGGAAGATGTAGTTTCTGAACTGGTGGCAGGTGTTGTCTCTGAGCTGGTGACAGCAGGCGTAGTCTCTGAGGTAGTGACAGCAGGTGTTGTCTCTGACGTGGTGGCAGGTGTTGTCTCTGAGCTGGTGACAGCAGGCGTAGTTTCTGAGGTAGTAACAGCAGGTGTTGTCTCTGACGTGGTGGCAGGTGTTGTCTCTGAGCTGGTGACAGCAGGCGTAGTCTCTGAGGTAGTGACAGCAGGTGTTGTCTCTGACGTGGTGGCAGGTGTTGTCTCTGACGTGGTGGCAGGTGTTGTCTCTGAGCTAGTGATAGTTGTTGTCTCTGACGTGGTGACGGAAGATGTAGTTTCTGAACTGGTGGCAGGTGTTGTCTCTGAGCTGGTGACAGCAGGCGTAGTCTCTGAGGTGGTGACAGCAGGTGTTGTCTCTGACGTGGTGGCAGGTGTTGTCTCTGAGCTGGTGACAGCAGGCGTAGTCTCTGAGGTAGTGACAGCAGGTGTTGTCTCTGACGTGGTGGCAGGTGTTGTCTCTGATGTGGTGACGAAAGGTGTGGTCTCTGAACTAGTGATAGGTGTTGTCTCTGACGTGGTGACGGAAGGTGTGGTCTCTGAGCTAGTGATAGGTGCTGTCTCTGACGTGGTGACGGAAGGTGTGGTCTCTGAGCTAGTGATAGGTGCTGTCTCTGATGTGGTGACGAAAGGTGTGGTCTCTGAGCTAGTGATAGGTGCTGTCTCTGATGTGGTGACGGAAGGTGTAGTCTCTGAGCTAGTGATAGGTGCTGTCTCTGACGTGGTGACGGAAGGTGTGGTCTCTGAGCTAGTGATAGGTGCTGTCTCTGACGTGGTGACGAAAGGTGTGGTCTCTGAACTGGTGGCAGGTGTTGTCTCTGAGCTAGTGATAGGTGCTGTCTCTGACGTGGTGACGGAAGGTGTAGTCTCTGAGCTAGTGATAGGTGCTGTCTCTGATGTGGTGACGAAAGGTGTAGTCTCTGAGCTAGTGATAGGTGCTGTCTCTGATGTGGTGACGGAAGGTGTGGTCTCTGAGCTAGTGATAGGTGCTGTCTCTGACGTGGTGACGGAAGGTGTGGTCTCTGAGCTAGTGATAGGTGCTGTCTCTGACGTGGTGACGAAAGGTGTGGTCTCTGAACTGGTGGCAGGTGTTGTCTCTGAGCTAGTGATAGGTGCTGTCTCTGACGTGGTGACGGAAGGTGTAGTCTCTGAGCTAGTGATAGGTGCTGTCTCTGATGTGTTGACGAAAGGTGTGGTCTCTGAACTAGTGATAGGTGCTGTCTCTGATGTGGTGACGGAAGGTGTGGTCTCTGAGCTAGTGATAGGTGCTGTCTCTGATGTGGTGACGGAAGGTGTAGTCTCTGAGCTAGTGATAGGTGCTGTCTCTGACGTGGTGACGGAAGGTGTGGTCTCTGAGCTAGTGATAGGTGCTGTCTCTGACGTGGTGACGAAAGGTGTGGTCTCTGAACTGGTGGCAGGTGTTGTCTCTGAGCTAGTGATAGGTGCTGTCTCTGACGTGGTGACGGAAGGTGTAGTCTCTGAGCTAGTAATAGGTGCTGTCTCTGATGTGGTGACGAAAGGTGTGGTCTCTGAACTAGTGATAGGTGCTGTCTCTGATGTGGTGACGGAAGGTGTGGTCTCTGAGCTAGTGATAGGTGCTGTCTCTGATGTGGTGACGGAAGGTGTGGTCTCTGAGCTAGTGATAGGTGCTGTCTCTGACGTGGTGACGGAAGGTGTGGTCTCTGAGCTAGTGATAGGTGCTGTCTCTGATGTGGTGACGAAAGGTGTGGTCTCTGAACTAGTGATAGGTGCTGTCTCTGATGTGGTGACGGAAGGTGTAGTCTCTGAGCTAGTGATAGGTGCTGTCTCTGATGTGGTGACGAAAGGTGTGGTCTCTGAGCTAGTGATAGGTGCTGTCTCTGATGTGGTGACGAAAGGTGTGGTCTCTGAACTGGTGGCAGGTGTTGTCTCTGAACTAGTGATAGGTGCTGTCTCTGACGTGGTGACGGAAGGTGTAGTCTCTGAGCTGGTGGCGGGTGTTGTCTCTGAGCTGGTAACAGAAGGTGTTGTCTCTGAGCTGGTAACAGATGGTGTTACCTCTGAGGTGGTGACAGCAGGTGTTGTCTCTGACGCGGTGACGGAAGGTGTAGTCTCTGAACTGATGGCAGGTGTTGTCTCTGAGTTAGTAATAGGTGTTGTCTCTGAGGTGGTGACAACGGGTGTTGTTTCTGATGTGGTGACGGAAGGTGTAGTCTCTGAGCTAGTGATAGGTGCTATCTCTGATGTGGTGACGAAAGGTGTGGTCTCTGAACTAGTGATAGGTGTTGTCTCTGACGTGGTGACGGAAGGTGTAGTCTCTGAGCTAGTGATAGGTGTTGTCTCTGACGTGGTGACGGAAGGTGTAGTCTCTGAGCTAGTGATAGGTGCTGTCTCTGACGTGGTGACGGAAGGTGTAGTCTCTGAGCTAGTGATAGGTGCTGTCTCTGACGTGGTGACGGAAGGTGTAGTCTCTGAGCTGGTGACAGGAGGTGTTGTCTCTGAGCTGGTAACAGAAGGTGTTGTCTCTGATGTGGTGACAGCTGGTGTAGTCTCTGAAGTAGTAGAGGTTATTTCATCTTCATCTCTTCTCGATTTTGATGTTGTGACATCGGTGGTTTCAGAACTGGTAGCAGGTGTAGACTCTGAGGTGGTGACAGGTGTAGACTCTGAGGTGGTGATAGGAATAGTAGTATCTGATTTGGTGGCAGGTGTTGTCTCTGTGGTGGTGATAGCCATAGTTGTAGTTGTAAATGCATCTTCACATTGCGCATCAGCTACCGGCATGCATTGCTGAAATAAAAAAAGTTATGTTGTATGTCAATAGCTATATTTATGTGCATTGCATTCGCGAAACCTATAGAATGATGTGCTATAGCTAGCAGGGGAAACCTATAATTGGTTTTGTACAGCAAATCCTGAATTGTTATTCTTTTTGAAATAGCTGTTGTTTACCCAAATTAAAATAGATTCATTATAGGATATTTTTTAATCGAAAAATTTCATTAATGCTGGATGTTTTATATGGTAATGACAACAGGCTTACCGCCTATTACGTATGTACATACGTATTTTAAGTATTCAGGTTTATCAGAGAGTTCCTTACTAGTTTTTGCCAAATGTGTAAATCTTAGAGTGGGTCGAAATATTCTTTTGTATTTTTATCCTACGCTACTGATTGCCTCGTTGGCCGAGTGGTAACAAGTGCGACTGCCGGGCAAGGGGTCTCGGGTTCGGTTCCCGGGTCAGGCTAAGCATTACTGTTTTTTTGAAATTTTTAAAATTCTCAGTAGTAGCACGGAGTCTGGAATCATGCCCGATATATGGCAATAGCCTCACCCCCTATTACATGGGACATAACATAACATAACATCACGCCTTTTTATTTCCAAAGGGGTAGGCAGAAGTGCACATTATGCCACTGTACAATTTAACACCCACTTTTCACTATTTATGTTATGAGTCCCATGTAATAGGGGGTGAGCCTATTGCCATATACCGGGCACAATTCTAGACTCCGTGCTACTACTGAGATTTTTTTTAAACCCAGTAATTCTTTACCCGCCCGGGAATCCAACCCGAGACCCCTTGCCTGGCAGTCGCACATGCGACCACTTGGCCAACGAGGCAGCAGTATTACATGGGACTTATAACATTAATAGTTAAAAGTGGGTGTTACATTGTGCAGTGGCTTAATGTGCACCTCTGCCTACCCCTTCAGGGATAAAAGGCGTGATGTTATTTTATGTCTACTATTACCGCAAGGAAAATAAACTAACACAATACCAGATAATAATAAAAAAACTTACGTATTGAGTTGGACTGAAGTGATAACCCGGTGAGCATACTTCACTTATTAACTGTCCAAACAAGCATAGAAGGAACCGATTACAAAATGGTTCTTGCGGTCGAAGCCATGCGTCTGTCGTTGTACACGGTGGTAAAGGCGTTACTGTTGGCATTGTTTCTTCTGAGGTTTCATTATCTTCATCTTTTCTCGATTCTGGTGTTGTTACTGAAACAGTGACGGTTGTTGTCTCTATAATGGCAGTTGTTGTTTCTGAGGAGGTGACAGCAGATGTAATCTCTGAGCTGGTGACAGCATGTGTGGTCTCTGAATTGGTGACATCAGCTGTTATATCTGAATTGGTGACAACTGTTGTCTCTGAGCTGGAGATAGGTGTTGTCTCTGAGCTTCGAACTAAAGGCGTTGTCTCTGACGTGATGACAGCAGGTGTTGTCTCTGACGTGGTGATAGCAGGTGTTGTCTCTGATGTGATGACAGCAGGTGTTGTCTCTGACGTGGTGATAGCAGGTGTTGTCTCTGACGTGGTGATAGCAGGTGTTGTCTCTGACGTGGTGACAGTAGGCCTTATCTCTGAGCTAGTGGCAGATGATGTCTCTGAGCTGGTGGCAGGTGTTGTCTCTAAGCTGGTGGCGGGTGTTATCTCTGCATTGGTGACGAATGTTGTCTCTGAATTGGTGACAGCGGGTGTAGTCTCTGAGCTGGGTTCAGGTGTTGTCTCTGAATTGGTGACAGCAGGGGTTGTATCTGAATCGGTGACAGCAGGTGTAGTCTCTGAGCTGAGTACAGGTGTTGTGTCTGAGGTGATGGTGAGTGTTGTCTCTGAGTTGGTAGCAGGTGTAGTCTCTGAGCTGGTGGCAGGTGTTGTCTCTGAACTAGTGACAGCAGATTTTGACTTTGAGCTGGTAACAGGTGTTGTCTCTGCGGTGGTAACAGGTGTTGTCTCTGGGGTAGTAACAGGAGTTGTTTCTGAGCTGGTGGCAGGCGTTGTCTCTGAGCTGGTGGCAGGTGTTGTCTCTGAGCTGGTGGCAGGTGTAGTCTCTGAGCTGGTGGCAGGTGTAGTCTCTGAGCTGGTGGCAGGTGTTGTCTCTGAGCTGGTGGCAGGTGTTGTCTCTGAGCTGGTGGCAGGTGTAGTCTCTGAGCTGGTGGCAGGTGTAGTCTCTGAGCTGGTGGCAGGTGTTGTCTCTGAGCTGGTGGCAGGTGTTGTCTCTGAGCTGGGTACAGGTGTTGTCTCTGAACTGGTGGCAGGTGTTGTCTCTGAGCTGGGTACAGGTGTTGTCTCTGAACTGGGTACAGGTGTTGTCTCTGAACTGGGTACAGGTGTTGTCTCTGAATTAGTGACAGCAGGTGTAGTCTCTGAGCTGGGTACAGGCGTTGTCTCTGAGCTGGGTACAGGTGTAGTCTTTGAGCTGGGTACAGGTGTTGTCTCTGAAGAGGTGGTGAGTGTTGTCTCTGAGCTGGTGGCAGGTGTTGTATCTGAGCTGGTGGCAGGTGTTGTCTCTGAGCTGTTGGCAGGTGTTGTCTCTGAACTGGGTACAGGTGTTGTTTCTGAACTAGTGACAGCAGGTGTTGTCTCTGAACTGGGTACAGGTGTTGTCTCTGAATTAGTGACAGCAGGTGTAGTCTCTGACCTGGGTACAGGCGTTGTCTCTGAGCTGGTGGCAGGTATAGTCTCTGAGCTAGTGGCAGGTGTAGTCTCTGAGCTGGGTACAGGTGTTGTCTCTGAAGTGGTGGTGAGTGTTGTCTCTGAGCTGGTGACAGGGGTTGTATCTGAGCTGGTGGCAGGTGTTGTATCTGAGCTGGTGTCAGGCGTTGTCTCTGAACTAGATGCAGGTGTCGTCTCTGAAGTGGTGGCTGGTGTTGTCTGTATTCTAACGATGGGTTTTATTGTTGCGATTGAAGATGTTTCGAAATTATGTTTCTCCTTACATGACGATTTCTCCCGTGGTATACAGATCTGAAATTATATTATTGTTTGTGTATTTGTTTAATTATTTTATGTACCTTGAAGTTTGGTAAAATGCAGTCATTCTAATAACTTATTATATAATAAACATTTATTATAATCTAGGTCTTTTTTTAAGGGGTAATCATCCAATGACGTCTCCCACCTAGGCGAGGCGGGAGGGAATGTCAAACTCTTATTGACTAAAAATCACCCCGTTCCTACTACTGCACTTCGACCCGGAGCCCCGGTAACCCGTTAAGTTCTCCGCGGCATTATATCTGACGGCCTTTATTCAGTTATAGAATAAGATCTTCATACAGTTTTAAAAATTCAATTTTCTTTAGGTAGGTACTTACTTCATCAACATCGAAGTCATGCCCATCAGGACATTGAACTCTAATTATTTTTCCTAGAAGGCACTCGTAGAAGAACGTGCAATCTGTATCATCTCCTATGGACCATTCGTCTTGTGGTCCGCATTCTGGCAACGGGGGCGGTGACGCTATGCAGCCTGATTCTTCTTGGGGGACACATGACTGTAGTTGTAAGGATTGATATGATTGGTAAAAATTAACATTGTACGTACAATTTACGTGCACCTCAACCCATTCTATCGTATATAAAAATGACATGAAAAAGGCTTTAACACTAGGTTACAATGCTTGCAATCATAGCATTCTGCTAAGTACTGCTAAGGAGTGGAATTCTTTGCCAAAGTCCTTTAAAATTCTTTACCTGAAGGGTATTACCTAGGTGTCTTCAAGGCCAGAGTGAATAGGTTGCTTTTGTGCAGACGTGCTCCATCGTAGACCGCATCATCGCTTACCACCAGGCGAGATAGTGGTCAAACATCGGCCCATCAAATATAAAAAAAAACACTTTCTAGTACCAAAATAGATTTTCTTACTTACCTCGGTCGCTTGACTATATTCAGTGCCATAAGGACATCTCAGTTTCACTAGGTCGCCATACATACACGTGTAAAAGCCATTACAGTCCCGAATATCAGGTCGAGACCAGTAATCATTGGTACCACATGGTGGCAAGGTGTCTGTGTAACTAGATGGTGAGCTGATGGTGGTAGTCTTCGGCTCTTGGCAATAAGCTAAATGTTGAGGTCGACAAATCTGGAGGGAAATTGTGATGTAGACTTTGTAGAGAAAATTAGGTAATATTGAGCGAGCGTGATGATTAATGCTCAAACCTTCTCCGTGCGAGAAGAGGCTTTATGGGCATTTATAGGCTGTTGATATATCCAGCAGGGCAAGCTTCTCTTTTCTGTCTTGTCCACAAATCCACATATAGACTGCCTCGTTGACCGAGTGGTCGCAAGTGCAAGGGGTTTCGGGTTCGATTTCCGGGTCAGGGAAAGTATTATTGGTTTTTTTTAATTCTCAGTAGTAGCACGGATTGTAGAATTGTGCCCGGTATATGGCAGTAGGCTCACTTACACACTACAGACTTTTTTTTTAAGGGCGGAAAATCATCGAATGACTGCTCCCGCCTGGGTGAGGCGGGAGGGAGAGTCAGTAAGACTGACTAAAAACCACCCCGTTCCTTCTCCTGCACGTCGAGCCGGAGCCCCGGTTACCCGTTAGGTTCTCCGCGACTCCGAATCGGCATCGGCCCTATTGGGCCCCATCTGTGGTGGTCTGATGGCTCTTTGAGGCGCGCGCGGAACGCAACGCGCCGTACGCTCGGGTCTGTTTCTGGTCGGACGGGGAGCCACCCATGCTCGCCGTCCGCAGGCTCACGCTTACGGTGGCCGGAGATCGTCCCGTGATCCCGACGCCCGGTGTGTCCTTCGCGATGGCTGGGTTGCGAGGAAGCAGCGCTTCGCTGCCTCGCGCGTCCCGCCTTAGCTAGCATGACTGCTTCGCAAAAGGAGGAGACTGCATCCCAGTCCCCCTCGCTCCGCATCATGACCTGCACTAGGCCCGGACGCGAGAGGTCGCCATCGCCGATCACTTCCCTGAGGGCACGGCGGTGCTCAGCCCACGTAGGGCATTCTCCCACTGTGTGTTCTACGGCTACCGTGTCCTCAGGGCGGTCCTCGCAGTGATGACACCCGGACACACTACAGACTTATAACATAATAGTGAAAAGTCGGTGATACATTGTACAGTGACATTAAATGCCGTGATGTGCACCTCTGCCTACCCCTTTGGGGACAAAAAGGCGTGATCCGTCTGCTCGTTTACCTTTATCCCTTAAAAATACCCGAGTGTACGGCGCGTCGCGTTCCGCGCGTCTCAAAGAGCCATCAGACCACCACGGATGAGGCCTAATAGGGCTGATGCCGATTTGGAGTAGCGGAGAACCCAACGGGTTACCGGGGCTCCGGCTCAAAGTGCAGGAACGGGGTGGTTTTTAGTCAGAAAGAGTGTGACACTCCCTCCCGCCTTACGCAGGCGGGAGCAGTCCTTCGATGATTTTCCCCTCTTAAAAATACTATAAGAATTATTAACAAACCTTCTCAATGGAATCAAATAAGTAGTATTCCGGACATTGTTTCCGTATTAGACTCCCAAATTCACACGAGTAATAGTTTTTACAATTAGTTGGGTCTGCCTTGAACCCATCCATTTCATTACAAGACGCTTTAGATGGTTCTAGCTTGTTATTGCTTACTGGACTATCAGATACTTCACAACTGGTTAAGGAGTGTGGTAAACAAATCTGAAAAATAAGTAATTTGTTATAAATTTTCTGAGACATACTTAAAGGTTTTTTTAGCGAATTCGCGTGTTTTAAAAGGGCAAAGAGTATGCTCATTGGGAGTAGCTACTAGCAGTACCAGGCTACAGTCAGACACGTTTAAATCTTTTTTTTAGTAAATTTTCTAAGGAAGATTAACAAACATTCATAAATCCTCATAAATTGTTGTATAATAATACTACTATAGGTAGTTCCACGCGGTCTCATCCATTATCCAAACAGAAAAAGAATTCTTCAAATCGTACCAGGACATCCGGAGTTTACTTTAGAGAGAAATAATATGAGTGCCAGATTACTTTTAACTAATTTAGGACGCTTCACAATAAGTATTTATCATCATAATTATGATCAGCGACAAGGCAATTATTGCCTCAAATAGGCGTCTCCCAATGATAGCCACAGCGGTCGATTGGAAGCGACCTACGTCCAGAGACTCCCTGCGACCTTAATTACGTCGTTTGCCCACCACCACTACGCGCGGGTTCTGCCGC